CTTCCAGGGATGGGGCAGCCACAGCTTCTCTGGGCAACCTGTGCCAGGGCCTCACCACCCTCACAGGGAGAAACTCCTTCCCCCCAGAATGACCTCAGGCCATTCCTGCTGGTGTCTCCCCCAACCACACTGGATCCTCTCTGAGAGTGGTGCCCCAGGTCAGGACTTAAGTTCCTGGTGAGACTTTATTTCTTGGGTTTCACTTACGCAGCCTGACTTTAAAATCTAGAAATGATGTTCTTCTGGATAACTGGATGATCCTGCCACCAGTCTTTGTCCTCTGCTCATCAGATCTGCTGCTCAGTGTGTTACTCTGCATCTTGTGCTATGAATGTATAATATGTACATATTACATTTCTTAGGACTTCTGCCTTCTTCACACTTTTTACTGATATTTATGTTATTTATGTTTATTCCTAAAATATGTTCCAGCTCATCATTTGAAACATTAATCCATATATTGGCTAACTCAGACCCATGACAGGGTGGGCAGGACCCCCCACAGTGCATTCCTAGATCCCAATGAGCTTGGCCCTGGCATCACACACATGGAGAGCAGCTCTCCAGCCCAATTCCTATCCCAAACTTTGCCTTGACCAAGAGAAGGCTTTAGGCTCCATCCTGCTACCCTGCCAGCCCAGCCAGAGCTGAGGTGTCTGGTTATGCAGAGTCATTGTCCCAGAGATTACAGTTAAATCCCTGTAGGATGAATTTCAACTCTGCCTGCTGGATTTGCAGAGATTAACTGCAAAGCACCTTAGCTCTGTCTCTGAGCTGGAGTTTCATTAGTGTAGAGTTTAAAATTCCAAAGAGGCACTGAAACTGGACAACCTGACACTGCCTTAATCACCTTCCACTGTAAACTGGCATAAGCCAATTAACTTTACAGGCAGAAAGAGGCTAAGCTGGTGTAACAGCAGCCTGCAACCTGTAAGAGCTGCTGCAGCATTGGCTGCCTCCTAAAATCCACCATCATCTGCAGCCAGGAAATACCTGCAGTTGGTATTTATTTCCTTACTTACTTCACATATCACACCTCAGTTCCCCCTTCTGCCTCTGAGAAAAACAGGAACATTAGAAAGCCCAGAAATTGAGGCTTTTCTTACTGGCTTGTGGGATCCAGCATTACTGCATCTAGTTCTGGTACATAGGGATTGCTTTTTGGAATAACTTGCTATATGATCACTTTATTTTGATATTTTTAACACTAGGAGCTCTAACTTGAAGGAAAGATCTCAATGGGAACTGATCTGGAGGCTATGGCAGAACAACACAAAGGGAGCTCCAAAAGTAGAGCAGTGGCAAAAAAAGAGCATTTAAACACTTGGTTTCCCTGGATAACTGAGTGGGGAAAAAGGTAAAGAGCAGCCAAGCCAGGAAACCAAACTTCCTAGGGTAGAGAGCAGCATTTCTAATAAAATCCCTGTGTCCTGCAGCTGTAAAACAAAGCTGGGCAGTATTTAGCATGCAAAGCACTGCCTGGCACTCAAAACACCTTCCAGCTACTTTGCAGCACTTTGAAAACTGTTTAGTCAAGAAGGAACCAAGGGCATGGTAAATTTGTGGAATAGCAGGTGACAATGTCAGTGAATCAGCCTGGTGCTGGTTATATGATCAGATCCGGATTTACAGCTTCAGTTCTGTCATTTTTGGTTGTTTTTGAAATAAAGCTGTTGCACTGCCATCATTCTACTGACATGTAATGCTCCAACAGGAGTTTTCAAGCTTTTATTCATGTAATTAAGAGTCAGACTCACTATGTGGGAATCACATCCAGGAAACCTGGCACACAGACCAAAACAAAGCAGGGAGGCAACGCTGGATGCCAAACCCAACAATGTCTGTTGCAGTTTACTTATATAAATGCAAACTTAAAAACAAGATAAACATTGCTTAATTTCACAACTCCAAATTGAGTTGCTGCGAGTCAAAAATAACTACTTAGTTACATATTAACCACTCCAGTTAGAGACAAAACTAAAACTCAGTTTAGCATCCTTCCTTTTTACTTGTAAAACTAACAATCATCAACTGTGGCCCTCAGGTCTCTCCTGTGTTTCCAGAGGACCATTCAGCCAGATCTTAACACCACATGGTTTTAAAGTATTCATCCAAGCACCTCTTAATCCCTAGGACCAGAAATGCAATTTTCCAGCACTCGTTTTCTCTGTGTTTCTCAGCATTTCTCACACTGAGTCTTTCCCTGAGTCCTGGCTGCTGGAATCAGATCTCCAAGAGCCCCAGCACTCAGACAAAACCAAAGGCTCCAGGAATGAGTCTCCATGTGCTGTTCCCTGTTCTGTTGGATACTTTCTTACCAGTTGACAGCAATTGTCCACCCTTCTCTTTGAAGGGCTGGCAACTTCCAGTTACTTCACATTTACTGTGAAGAAACAGGATTTTCATAGATTCTTCCTTAACTACACTGTGGTAACCACTAGGAACTAATATTTGCAATTACAGGGAAAAACCACAAAGCAACCATCCCTTAACCATTCCAAAACAGGAAGGCAAGCACAAAAAAGATGTATTTAAATTTTATTAAAAACTACTATTTTGCATTTGCTAAAGAAACCCTCTATTTTCAGTCATCTCATTTCTTGAGATTGGATGGTTTTGCCCTTCTTAAGTTTGGCAATACTTGCACTGCCTTATACCAAATGTAGCCAATAACTGTACATCAAGCTTTCAGTAGCTCTTTAGATCACTCCTCTGTACCTCCTCTGGTTACTTATTAAAGCCTGGTCAGGCTTTACCTGCTGTCCCTTTATTAACCCACACATTCTTCCACATGTGTTCTTCCTCCACCTCCCATTTTCTCTGCCTTTTGAGCAAATTCTCTCCCAGCACTTTGAATTCATGTGGACAAAATGCTCCAAGGCAAAGTGCTGTTGGCAAGGGCACCCCTTGGGACCCACTGCAGCTCTGGCAGAGAGCTCAGCTCTGCACGTACGTGAGTGTCTGCACACCCTCCCAAAACACCTCCTCACAGCCCAGCATGGCTCTGCCTCCAGGCCTTTCCTTACTCCTGGGATGGAGCTGAGGTGCAGCTGATGGAGAACTCAGTGCTTGGAAAGCTGTCACATCCTGCCAGGCCCTGGGTGCACATCCAGAAACCTGTACAAACACTTTATGCCAGGGAACAAGTTTCCCATTCTGCTTATTCCCAGTGATCCATAGGGATCCTGTCTGTGTGTGCTGTCAGGCATGAAAGCTGCATGTTCCACTCCAACCCCTTCCTAGAAGAGATAAATGTACCAGTGTCTGCTGCTTTTCCATCAGGGAAGGCTGCACTATCCATCACTTCCAGAGGTGCACAGAGCAAGGTTGGTGCTGCTCAGGGATGCTGGAATAGGGAACCACACATCACAAAAAAGCAAATTTCTATATGGCCTAACCTCCCCCCCAACAAACAAGTTATTTGCTTTTTTTGTGCCCTAAGAAGGCAGGGATCTCAAATTGCTAATTCTTTTCTTAAGTAGTCAGATCTTTAAAGTCATCGAGGCACTGGGAAGCTGAAATAGGGAACTCTAAGGTTTCACCCTATGTCCAACCCAGAGCAACAAACATCCTTAGCCCACTCCCTCCTTCGTGGTCCATGAGGAAGAATGTTTGCTGCTGATGTTGGTGTCCCAAAAGAAGGGGATATTTTTCATTCGGAAAACACAAAATGTAGGAAAAAGCCTCCCTTTACAAACGCGGCTCCAGTGCAGCTCTCCCTGCCAACATCCCGGTCCCTGCTGGGCTTCCTTCGGGCTGCCCAAGTGACAGGACCAAGATGAAGCAACAGGGATGAAACCTCAGCACGGAGACACATTCCAGTGTCGTGGAAGGGATCGCCGCTGCCCTCCCAAACCTCATCACCTGCACGCTGTGCACTGGTTTGTGTTTCAGCTGGAAAACCCCCCGACGGCCCGAAGAAAGAAGGAATACGAAGAAAGTGGTGTTTGCCTCCTCCCTGACCGATGTCCGCTCGCTCCCGCACGTAGGGCAAGGTGGGAAAGGCTGCCGGGGGGGGTTCTCCTGCCTGCACCGCGAGCTGTGCCCACGGCAGCCTCGTCAGCTCATCTGTCACTCACCGAGTTACTTCCACGCCGCGGACACGCAAAGCGCCACGATTTCCGGGATCCCGGATCCCGGATCCTTACCCCGTTGGCAGCGGCGATGCGGACGATGAGCTGGATGGCGTCCCTCATGTAGAAGCGGCCGTCGCCCCCCACCACAAGCGTGGCTTCCTGGCGCTCTGCGGGCGGCACCGTGGCCAGGATGCTCTGGATGAAGTTCTCGGTGTAGTGGGCATTGCTCTGGAACACCGTGACCCGCTTGCGCAGCCCGCTGGTGCCCGGCTTCTGGTCCCCGTAGGGCTTGGTCTTCACGGTCTCGATCCGCACCATGGCCGGCGCCGGGAGAGTTCCGGGAGCCGGGGGGGCACCGGGCCGGACCGGCCCCGCCGCCAGCACCGCCCCGAGACCGCCCCTTAAAGGCACCGCCCGCGCGGCCGCCTGGGCACCCAGTGGAGAGAGGACACAGCATCCTGCCCTGCCCTGCCCTGCCGTGTCCTGTCCTGCTCCCACAGGGTGCGGACGCCGCGCTGCCGAGCTCTGGGTGTGCAGAGAGGAGCACTGAGCATCCCTGTCCTGCCACAGCACTGAGCACCTCCGTGGCGGGTGCTCTGCTTGGGCCAGGTGTCATGAATCGTCTAATCCTTTAGGTTGGAAAAGATCTCTAAGGTGATGGAGTTCAACTGCTCCCCCAGCACTGCCAAGGCCACCACTAACCCATGTCCCCACGTGCCACATCCCCAAGGCTTTTAAATCCCTCCAGGGATGGGCACTCCACCACTGCCCTGGGCAGCCCCTTCCAAAGCCTGACCACCCTTTCCGTGAAGAAATTCCTGATGTCCTACCTAAACCCCCCCAACACAACCTGAGATCATTTCCTCTTGTCCCGTCCCTTGTTCCCTTGGAGCAGAGCCCAACTCTCACCTGGCTCCCCCCTCCTGTCAGGTTGCAGAGAGTGAGAAGGTCCCCCTTGAGCCTCCTTTTCTCCAGGCTGAGCCCCACCCAGCTCCCTCAGCTGCTCCTGGGGCTCCAGACTCTCCATGTCCCTACAGCTACCAGCAGGATGTCACCACAGGCCCTACAAGCAGGCCCTGGACTCAACTGACCACCCCACACAACCAGGACCTCCCCAAATACCCCCAGAAGGTTGGTCAGGGAAGGTCAGTGCTGGCAAACCCACGAAGCAGCTGAACTTTGTTATTATACCACCAGTTCTCAAAAGTAAGGTAATTCCAGAAATTAAAATTACAGGTGTTACAGACACTTTTTCTCTCAAATGTCTCCCCTTGAAGAAAATAAGCTGGTACCTATGTTCAGCCTTGAAAAGAGAAGCTGAAATGTTTTTCTGTCTTGGTGGCACCTGGACTTGAAGCAAACTGGAAAAGAATCTGCAGATTCTGAGATCTCTATTCTCACCTCCTCCAGGGCAGGAAAGGCAGAGCCTGCCATGGAGAGCTTGCCCATGTTCCCACTTTAAAATCTGGGTAATTAAACCCTTCCTAGCAGCAAGAGGATCAGAACATAAATGAGGTTCCCCTGTTGCTGTGCCATGTTTTTTACCTGCAGCAAAACCAAGTCTTTCCTGTGCAGTGATTTCTCCACTAAGCTCTTCCTTCAGCCTTAACCATTCCCTTCCTAAAATGCAGAGAGAGTTGCATATGAATTCCTGCCACATTTAAAAAGACTGATTTGACAAACAAGAGAAATGCAAATAATGGGCTGCTCACTTTCTAGTGTCTGTTCTACAGAGAATGTCTCATTATTTCCTAACTCCTCCTTAGACACTGGGAACTTCTGATTTACCCACACCTTGCCTGAGGCAGCATTTCCAGAGCTCAGGCAGAGCTAGAAATCACCAAATATTTGTGTGGCCTCAACTTCAACTTCTTTTAGACAGTTCTGAAAATGAAAACCACATCTGCTGTACTCGCTATGGGGAAAAAATGGAAAACTAAAGGATTACCAGGAAACCTGCCCTAGCACCAAGTGTGTAAATCAGAGCCCAGCTCTCCTTTTGGCACTGACATTTACTTGCCCAGTGTAAGATTACAGCAGAGGAACAGCAGAGTGCAGATAAAAATAGCTTTGCAACACTCCTCACTGCCCTTACACATGAGGTCACGTACATTTAATGGCTATTTTAAACTCAGACACTTTCTAAGCATCCAGTGGGCAGGGTCATCCTTTTTTTTTCCACATTAACAGACATTTAGAGGAACCAGAAAAATAAGATGAATATTTTAGTACCTTAAGCTGGTTTTCTTTGCTGTTGCAGCCTAAACTTGGTGCACTTCAGCCTCCTTATTTCAGCTACCCTGGAAATAATTAATTGTTGTTAACAGTCAAGGGCCCAAGACAAACCTTCATTTTCCTCAAATGATAATATTTCTTCACTACATACAAAAAGGCAGACTTTATTTTACATAAAAGAGTACAAAATTAGGCAGTCATTACAGAAAAAGTGCAAGATGAGTATTATCAATAAGGGGAAAAAAAGGGAAAGAGGCAAAATAAAATCTTGAGCCTCATCCCTTTATCCTTCTCACACCAAAACCACATCAGTGTTTCATTAGGAACCCACCAGACTCATCCACCAAAGCAAGTTTTTCCTCAGTGAAGCAGTTCCAGCCTGTGATGGAACTACAGTACATGTCATAGAAAATCAGAGCATATTTAGGCCTTTATAATATTTAGCATATTTAGCCTTTATAAAACACTATTATATTACAGCTGTCAGTTGTATTAATACTGAACAGCACTAATTTTTAATTTGCCTCAGTGTTTTCATGCCAATAATTTATTCTGTCAAAGGATTTTACATACTTACACTTATTCCATCCTAATCTATCACTGTATATGTTTCTTCACAGCCTTTAGCAGAAATAAGTGATATCAGAAATATGTGATTCATTGCCTTTAACAAATCAAACTCTGCAAAGCACAAATGTATGGCAGCTTTTTGAGAAGGACAAGACTATAAATTGCCTGGAAGCTGCCAAAAAACACTCCTGGTTTGGTGTGAATGTTCCCAACTCCGTAACCAGAAGGTTTAATGTACAAGGGAGTGCACACAGTTATAAATCCACTCCTCCTGCTCGTTCAGGGGCACCACGTGCTGACAGACCTGGACAGGAGAGAGAAAACAGAGGTGAAACAGCTGGGTTTGGAGAACTGTCACCTCGTGCTGTGTAAGCAAAATGAACTGTTTCAGTACCTGCACCACTAAATGATGAACATTCCTCATCCATATTGACAGCTGATAGGCAAAAATTACCACGGAATTTAATTACATGACAGCAAAACATTCACAGGGGCACTGAACCCAGTACTGAATGAAGCCTAAATTACAATTAACAAACATCTTACAGGACCAGCCTATGGATATCTAAAGTGTCAGCAGCAGTATTAGAATAGGCCCCAGCCCTGCCTGTGTCACGAGACTGTTCTGTTTACAATGGGTTTGAATCCACACGGGAAAGCTGGGAAATATAAAATAGCTTGGAAGCCTCTTCTTTTAAACAAAGGGACTGTACTTTTAGAATAATAAACCCAGGATTTTATTCATAAATAAATAAAGAAAAACATCATCTGCATTTGTAATGCATTTTCACATTCTATCCCTTAGAACTCTCATTTAGAATTTTCACTACAAAAGGAAACTATAAAGATGTCGTATGATTTTCTTATTGCTTAGATTTTAAGTTGGCTGAGCAATAAAAATTAAAAAAAACCCTTACCATCATGGATTTTGGTGCCACTTCTACAGCAAAAACTGTCAGTCCCCTGTTATTTAGGCAGTTCTTACTCTGCTCATTGTTGACATGAATAATCACTTTGCTTTCAGACTGCAAATGAAAAAACGTGAGGGAACCCATTAATCTTCTGGTTAACTGTCTATTCTTCCTGTAAGGACTACACATCCCTCTGGCTTCCTCTGACTTCCCCATTTTACAGGACAGGATACTCTTTGAAGAGTAACAGTTTCAAATGTACCTTTGCACCAACAGAGCCCAGATCTACTGTCAGAAGTCATTGAAGACTCACTGAGATACCAGAGAGCATCCAGCTGTCTGAGTGCAGACCTCACCTCCTTCTCTGACATATTCCCAAACATATAAATAACTCTGGAACATCCACCCGAAAGGGCAAAAGTGCACATCTAAACCTAGAGTTCAGGGGACCTAATATTAGTCCTCTAACTCATCCCCTTTTGCATGTCTCTCCTTTTAAAAATATACTTCTTGCTGTGATCTTTTCAGATTTAAAGCATCTTAAGTTCAGCATCTTACTGAGCTGTGTTTATATACTCACAGTTCCTGATACAAATGAGACTGAGAAGGAACAGCAGGTTCATTATGTTCTATGCAGAAAGGTTTAAAATCTCTGTTTCTCACCAACCACTTCTGCTTGCATTTACAATTCTTAGCTTGGATTAAGAATAATCCTGTCAGACTAACCAGTGAATAACTCATCCATAACACAATCAATGCAAATCACTGCTCTTTGACTTTCTTGTGGACACTGAAAATGCTAAATAGTGTAAATGCTGTATTCTTTGAACTTTCTGTAATTTTATTTCCTGTTCTTAGTGTTTGTTTTCTCATATTATGATGATATTGTGTCTCCAATTATTATCAAAATACTGAAAAATTGGAATGTGAACACAAAAATATTCAGATTCTATATGATATTTAGAATTGGTTGCCTCATTATAATAAACTGTCCCTTCTGACACTGATGTTTAGAAGTCCGAGTCATATGTTAAAAGGAGCACATCAGGCACTGGGGGTTTTTTCTATGAAATAGATAGAAAAACGTCATATCAGAAAATGTAATTCTCAAATATGACAACAGGAGGGAGGAAGAACTGTAATAATAGACATTCCCACAAAGTACCCTACAGAGGTCTCATGCCATACCTTATTTTCAATAACAGAAGTGATTCTCCTGCCTGATTTGTAGGTGTGGACCACGATGTTCTCAGAGCCATCCAGTACTTTGGGCTCTCCTTTATTCACCACAGCCCTGCAAACAGCCCTGCTGAGCTGGGAGCCCCCTGCCTCCAGATACATGGCTTTAATTCTGGGTTTGCATCTCTCTGCATAGATGTCAATGACAAAGGGACAGGCCTGCAATGGAAAATATGGGTTTTATTATCACCTCAGCTGTAGTTTTTCCCCTCAGATTTTCATCCACAGCTCCTCAGTATTTTCATATCTGCTCTGAAGTAGAATTACCCAAATACACGTATGTCTCTGAATAGCAAATATGCCAAACCTGAGAGCCATGACAATATTTTACAGGACAAATGACATTTTTCATGCCAGCCACAGTACACTCAATATCTAGTTTGGTGCGTTCAGGATTAGGATGAAGTACAAATGTATTCCAGTGCCTGAAACAAACCTGACTCCTTTCCCTGCCACACTGTTGCTACTTGTGCCACTTCCCACAGATTTAATACACCCGCCCTGTTGCATCAAGCAATGTTACTCCTGGTGTAACAACCAGGAGTTTGCATTTTTTCAGATACAGTAACAGCACCTCGGTTCCTTTCAAATGCCTGCTGGAATCCACCAGGATTTCTCAAGTTCTGCCTTTAATTTGTTAGAGGCTCAATGCTCCCAAAACACCACTCTTGAATTGTTTGAAATCAAGGAATTAAAATGTTAAGTGATAGACACAAGTTAACAGATGGAGATATTTAGATTAATGTTGTCCTTTGGAAGCAAAGGCTGGAGCCATAAACCACAGCTGGTGTTAAGGCACAAAACACCTGCCTGAAATTCCCAACTGGATAAAAACCTCCCCAAAATCCTCTTTCTTGGAGGATTGCTCCCTCTCGCGGCTGAAATGCAGAGAAACAGCTTTGCAGGGGCTCTGCCAACCACAACTTGGAGGAAAAGGAGAAACTGCTTATTGTGAAATCACTCACCAAGATGCCAAGATTTTCACTGAGAGCTGGTATCTCTCATACTGACTATTTTGGGGTCTGCATATATTTGTTTCACACAGATATTTTATACAGTGACTACACTAACCTGTTTTACTTTAATAAAGTTAAAGGACATTATGAGGCTATGATCCTAAAAGTCTTCTTGAGAATGAAACTTAAATATTTAATTATCTGTATATTTAATGTTTCCTTTAAGTTTTCATAAATTTTTTCCTTTTCATTAAAAAGATCCTCTTTCTTGAGAACTATTAACAGCAAAATTATTTCTGTAAAAATAAATTTAAAAAACTAAATAAAATAATAAAATAAAATATCTAAGTGTATATACACATTAGGAAAAAATCCCTGGGCCTGTAAGTAAACAGTGTGTCACCCAAAGCCTCTTCATTAAAATTTTATGTTGAACACATTCAGACACTGTTGTGAAAGGCAACAATAACAGAAATAGTCATGTCTGAAAATTAGGAATTCTGAATCATGTGGAAAAAAATTATCCATTTTTGTTGTGGTTTGGGCCAGGAAAGTGGCTTTTTTAAGGAGAGCAAGTGCTGCATTTTCTAAGTTTGCTGAGAGGTCACAGTTTACCATTACTGTCTTATCACATCTCACCAGCAAGGGCAATGAACTCTTTCAATGGGTATAATCCAAAATTTCTTCCTCTATAACCTACAAAATCCTGTCTTCCTCTAAAGCAAAAAGAAAACTTCCTCTTTCAGCAATCCAGGTGCTATCCTAGGAAACAGGGTAATGGGTGTGACAGTGTAAATCCTGAATTCACCGTGTTTGGAATGGATCCCTGAGCTGCTGGAATCAGTTCATGGCAGACACAAACAGTGCTGCAGTTAAACATGAGCAGTTGGTTTTGTTTTGTGTCTCTCATACCTCTGTCATTTCTAAGGCCTTGTTGTAGCCCAGGGACAACAGAGTGACCCAGAGGTCACTGGGATCCCCTTCCCGGTCCGTGGCTTCCATGAGATTCAAATCCAGGAATCCTTGTCTCGTGAGTTCATTCTTCTTCATCTCAAAATTCTCTGTTTAAAGGAAATAGAAAGTAGCACTCAAAAGTCTGTTCTCTCTGCAAACACCTTTTATCCTTCCAAAGCCGAAGTTTAAAAGATGGAGCCATTTTGCAACCTTGGGCTCTCCAGTATTATTTGGGAAGGACTGTCCTTGACCAGGCATGTGCTCTTTGCAGAGCTTCCCTGTGGATTTTGGATAATGCCTAGAAACAGCTGGTCCCTTGGATAACCTGAAAGAGGGTGAGATTTCAAAACACAAACAGTTCATATTGATTTTTTTTCTTTATGCTAAAACTTTGTGGTTGAGTTTTGCAGAAAGGGCTATTTTAGGAACGGGAAATGAAAGTCAGCTGGAACCAGCACCCTTAGTGCTTGAGGTCCTTGATATAGAAATGATTTACTTAGTTCCTAAAAAGCAATAAAATTCCAGTAATCCTAACACCCCTCTCTAGAGAGAATATCATAGATATCACTCTAATGTCAGCAAACACATAATGGAAATGTCCTTGTGTCAGAGAGTTTTAAAAATGGTTTTCTCATCTTCATAACAATGCTAAATCTTTACTATATATTATTAAAAAGGGATTACCAATTTAATAAATCTATCCAAGGGTACAGCTGCTGTAATAAATGGCTTGAACTTTGGTATCAAGATTTATGATATTTGTCTGAACCCTTTCAACTGATTAATGACTTGGTAAAACATTCACCAGATTCTCCTCTTCCCTCCCTTATTTATTGACAGATCTTTACCCCTCCTACTTGTGTGGAGATAAGTGCAGAGGTATCACCTGACAGAGTCCAAGTGTGGAAAAGTACAGGGATGAAACAGAGGAGAAAGTTAGAGAAAAGGATTTTATATGAGTTTTCCATCAGTTAGGAAAAAATCCAACACCTTGGAGTGTTTTTGGGAGAAATGATTAGAAGGATTTGCCAGATCTAAAGTATCTCAGCCAGCGTGTCACAGCCTGCAAAGGAATTCTGTCAAACATGACGTGGGCTGATACACAGTGAGACACTGGCAATCCACAGCAACTCTAGATGCCATTTTATAGCACCACAGACACGACTTAAATGAACCTCTCAACCCTTTGTGAGATAGGAAAGCAGCCCCAGCCTAATCTGCACAAAGGACAGGGATTAAACAAATACCTGTTACAGTTTCATTCACCGCGGGATCCAGGATTAGAAAACCTGTGGGTTTTGGCAGCTACAAAACAATGGGAATGGGAAGAACTTTCTCAGCAGAAGGTCAGTGGCACACACACCAGAATGAAGCAAAACAAAGGACAGGAGACTGGAAAAGGAAAAAAAAGAAAACAAAAGGAGAAGAGAACAACATCCACGTGTGTTCTTGGAATAGGCTACAAAATACTCAGTTCTTCTATATTATACACGTACAACTTGGAAGTAGATTGATGGCCCTAATTAGTTTAATTAAGTACAGCAATGAACTTACCTTTACACACAGCCCATGCTTCCTCATCACACTTCTCTCCACTAGTTCTCAGTTCAAAGAAGTTGTATTCCTCCAGACTCAGGAGGCCATTCCCATCCAAATCTATTGTTTCAAATATATCCAATAAAGCAGCTCTGAAAGATTAAAAAAGGCAAAACTATTTCCAAAGGCTTCTGTTTGCTTTACTGGCTCATAATATTGTCAGGAACTGTTCAGTCCATTTGAGAATATCCTGTATAAAGAGTACTTTAGGAAGATACAGCTTTCAAAAAGCTGCATTTTAGCTGGAGCACACCCTTTTACAAAGTTTGGGAATTCCTGTTTGGGAATATGACTCACCTGAAGCCTTTGGTGAGGGCCAGTTCTCCATCTTCATCCCTATACACCAATTTTGCTTCTCCAGTCACTTGTGTTTTCCCCTTCCTCAGCCTGCAGCCTGTTGTGAACGGGAGCAGCCAGTAATTCCCAGATCCAAGCTCCCCTTTCCAGCCAAACATCTGCTCTTGGAGGAACACAGGCAAGTTTGTCACTCACTTCTCAAATGATGCCTTTCTTTATTACCAGTAATATCCATACAAAAGTGATTAATCACTTGAAAACACTGGTAATGCTGGGTGCTTTCCTTAAAGATGCCACTCTAAAGACAAAAACACCTAGTGAATCTCTTACAATAAAATTTAAAGAAAACATACAGGACCAGAGATGAGGGGAGAAGGGAGAACTAAGTTAATGCTGCCATTTCTCCTCCCTTATTTCTGCCAGAGGATAAGAATAACCTGTGCTCTGTGATGTTCAAAATTATATGTGGAAGGAGAAAGAAAATTAGAGGAAATTTTAACACATTTTGCCTCTGAAATTTTGGGTTTGAAGGCGCAGGAATAAAATGAGTTTCTGAGAGTATCTGTAAATGTAACCAGCAACTCAGCGATATTTGCCAACATATCACACAATAACGTGGTTCTCACGAGAATTCCATTAAACTTCCATACATGTGGAATTGCCATTCTGTTACATCTTACCTTGCACAAGTGCTGTCAGTGTTGAAAGGGAACATGGAAAATGTGCTGCTTCTCTCTAATCTGACTAGCACAGCTTGAGTTCCTTCCAATCACATGGGACTCACCCATATAATATTAACATACACACTAAATAAATAACAATTAAAACAGGAACACAACAACATCTGACCTCTTTGTTCTGTACTTCAGTAAAGCTCACAAGCTGTAGATTCTCTTGGGTTTCGTTCTCCTTCAGAATAAACAAAGCTGTATCCACTGACAACCAGTGACAAGATCTTCCTAAAAAGAAAAATATCCCACACATAAATGCTTAACGATGGCACAAAAGTGGTTCCCCTTGGACCTCAAAATAGATATATTCATGGTATTTAGAATATTGATTCCTGTTAGTGTAAAATGGAAATTAAGAATCCATTATATGATATTGGGATTTCCTTCCTATTTAGGCCAATCAGAGAAACTGTTCCAAGCCTTATGATCGTCTTACAGATAATTATTCCTATTAATAGTTCTGTCATTAGGAAGTATTGATAGAATAGCTCTATCATTAAGAGTCAAGAATAGCAAAGAGTGGTTACACACCACACAAATTTGTTCAAAATGTGAAGACTTTTTTCTCCTAAAAAGGTCATTGCCCTGCTAACATGGATCCTTTCCTGACACACCAGCATTGTGCCTTCCTCTCCACAAGAAAACACGGAGATATTTCTATACACGGGACAATAACATTGTGCAAAAGTAGAATGTTTTTATACAAAAGATGAGGTATTTTTGGTTACAGACAATGTCTGGACAATCCTGCAGCAGAACTGTCTAAGGTACAGGTACAAAGGGTGCCATAAAAACCCCCAAAGTTCTGAACAGAGCACTGAGACATCCTCAAATCTGTTAAATTACTCCAATCTGTCAGATTCAGATCCCTTTTTCTCACTGAAGTCTGTTGATCAGCTTCCCATTTCAGCCAGGCAGTAATTGGAAAACGACTATTTTCCATCAATTATTTGCAGTGAAGTTTTTATTACCAACTTCAGTCAGAATCAATCACCAACCTGTAGCACAACAGATGAGTCTAAACCAACTTTGGAATCTCATGGCTCCTGTTTTACAGGATTAGAAAAGAAATAATCTACTTGGAGAGACAATAATTCCAATGCAGCAACAAGACAAAGCCCCTTAGTAAACCACAAAGTGTTTGGAAAGCACTGACTGATCCCAGGTGGGTCTAATGGTGGGTTTCACCTTTTGAAGAGGAAAATGAAATAAAAAAATACACTCACCTTCTACCTGGGGAACATTTAAAGGCTTGATGGTGACACAAACTGAGGACCTCTGAGGGAAGTGCACCCTGTACTTGTGACTGATGATTTCACTATCTTCTTCCAAGTAGAAGCAGCCTTTGGATTGTGCCCATTGCCATTCCTGGGAACCGAGCGAGGATTAGATTTTATCTCTGATCAAGATAAAAGCACCTTCTCTGAAATATTGATTTTATTATTTAATAAATTCTGCATAAAATACACAAGATACAGCACTGATACCCTATTTTAAAAACAAGAATTATCTCAAATAGTCCTTTTTGTAGTCAAAAGGACTTTTTATTGCTTCACTTGTGAAAATGCCTCAAAAACAGATTCCCCCAATGCTCAAACAGACGAAATCAAATTTGAATTGCCACTGGATTCATGAAATTCTCTGAACTGTGTGATTTACCATCAAAAGGCTGGAATTTTACTACATCCCTCAGGCCAACCAACCAAGGAACACAACTGATTAGCTGAGCAATGAGGGATTATTTGCTCAGACAAATCACAAACACAAATAACGTGAATTTTCTTGACTTCTGTTAAAGCTGTTGGAAAGGCAAACTGAAAAGTGCTGTGTTTGTGAATAATAATAATGTTTCTAGAGACATCATGATTTTGCTGAAACAGCCCTGTGCTTCAATTATTTATTTTTTCTGAACAGCAGCTCCCAATTTTCAATTTCAAATATCATTAGAATGATACTTCTTTGGCAAAAAAAAAAAAGAGATAAAATAAATACAGACACACTGTATGCCTCGAGGAATGTGAGACATCCTTGATTTGCCTTCCCTGGTTTGGATTAATGGGTACTCAGGGACTCATGGATCTAAGAGCCTTAAGTTTTGCCACCGATTATTGTGGGAACAGGATCAGCTCCTCTATTCTAAACACTTGCCATTCAAACATTCATTTTACATAGCTGGAAACTATCTTAATCTCAAATTATTTATTGTTATGTTCCTTAAGATGTTCATGTAAAGGTAACAATTATTTCATCCTTAAAACATGACACAGCTGAGAGAAGTGGGTGTTTGCTCATTTAGTCTCCCAGTTTAATACCTGACAGAACTGCTGGACAAAAAGTTGATCAAAGCTTTAGGAAATCAAATCCTGAACTGTTATTCTTGCAAAGAGCATAAGGTGGTGCTAAGTGCCCTAAATTATCCATGTCAAATTACAAATAGGCAAATTTGGGAAGATAAATGATGATTTTCTGGTTTGATTGTACTATGTCAATTCAAAGCACAACAGAAGTTGTCAAATAACAGCCAAAGTGGGAAATGTTTGTGTTAGAAATGTTGACTGTACAGAAACTTAGGCACTACCTGCTGCTGGTCACTGCTACTGCAATTTAAGTTACTACTGAAATTGTCCACACACCAGTGCAGAATTCCAAATAAAAAACAATGTTTATGACAGGAATTGTTCCTGTGATTAAAGCAAAGAGCTCCATTTTTAGGACATGATCCACTTTCTTTTTTTGCTGATGTCTTTCAATCTTGACTAAAACCAACGCGAAGAACACTCTGCATAAATTTAACATCTCCATCAGTCTTTTCATGAATTGGGATTCAGCTGCAGTTGAAGCCCAACAGGTCAACATGATGTTTATGCACATCTATAACTGGCTGGTTTTTTTCTCCCAAAATTTATTGATATGGCTTTGAACACATCCCAAAGCTCCACTGACAAAAAGAAAACACATGGAAGAATGCACTAGGAACACATTCCATGGTTTTTAATTCAGATATTTACCATATTTTGATTTCCAATGTTCTCCTCTATCAGAAATGTTACACTGGCTTTGGTCCAACTTCCTCATGGCAATATTTTCTTACTGCCCCAAAACCACAGGTGAACAGCAGAGAAAAATAAATATATATTTCTGAATAGAAGATGACTAAGAAGAATTTTTGGGTGCTACATCCTGATCCACACCACAAATGAATCCCTGGGTATTTATTCACTGATTCTGACAGAGTTTGCATTGTGCAAAATAGAGTTTAGAAAAATTAACAGTTCTACTTCTACCTTTTCATGTTTATTGATTGATTTCAGGGTTTGTATGATGCTAATCAACACTAACTGATATCTGCAGCTGCTTTGGTTTTTTCAGTCAGTTCTTACTGGCTTGTGCAAAGAAAGAAGAATCCAATCTCGGCTAAGTGTGTGCTGCTTTTGTACACCACACATCAGGTTTGAACAAGGTGAAATTGCAGGTTAAATTGCATGGAGGTCCAGATACCAAAACAGACTGCAAAAAATTCCTCTGAGATGATGTTTTTAAATTTTCATATAGAACAAATGTCACTGTATAGCAATGTGGAAGATATAAAGGACTTCAGAGTTCAATAACAAATCCAGAGTTGTTATTTGAAACAAAAATGTAGCTCCTGAGAACAATCAGTTCAGTTTTCCAGCAGCAGTTACACTATGTGGTCATAACCATTTTTTCCCTTTTATACAGGAGTCTCAAGGTGCACATTTTTAATGTATCTGAGCAGTTTCCAGTTAATGCTTTATATTTCTACAGCTATTATTTTCTGGTGAAAGAAAACTAGTAAAGGTTCAGTCAGGAAAGGGAAAACAAAGGAAAAAGATCAATATTAACACTCTACAAATATTGACTTAGCAAAGTGACTTTGTTGTCTCTCTCCCACAGGAATTTATATTGAATGAGTGATTTATTCACAAGAAAATACTGATAGAACATATTAGTTTAACTAAAAATCAATATTTTCAGGCTATAGCACATATTTAGAAAGTAATGCCCAACAAACTGAATATGCTCCCAGATCTGTTATTTATTTCCAATTACCTTTCATGTAAAGGTTTATGATACACAATCTTTCAGACTACTTAAGCATTTAAAGTTCTCACCAACCTAATAAATTATTAAACTTTAAATTTCTCAAGAAGTCATTAAAACATTTTCTCCAACAGTGGTTTCATTTATAAAAAAACACACTTGGTTCTATTAAACCTTCACACCTGAAAAATTATTTTCAATAACTAGATGTCAGCAAAACCAACAGTATATAAAAATGTTAATAATAACACATATCAAACTCTCAGTAGTTTATAGCTGCTCTTGACAAACTATTAATAAAACATAAGAAGCCATTTTTCTCTGATTTTCAGCTTATTTAAAATGCAATAACATGTGCCTAGAGGAAAACAGCATAATTTCAGTGTGATACCTTCATTGTGTCGGGCTCAATTAGCTTTGTGCTCCTGTTGCTGCTGGAACCCACACTGACAGTGGAAGCTTTGCCACTTTGGGCTGATGAGGGTCTTGAAGGAGCTCTGCTGTCACCTACAAACACAGATATTTAGTCACAATTACATTATTTCAACCCCTCCTAGTGGTACTTATCATAAACCTTGTGTTTGTAAGCACACAGACAAACCGGGTCCCTTCATCACTGCTTTGTCAGAATGGTTTTTTGCCCAGAATTGAAGCAACTGCAACCAGCACAAATTCCACGCAAATATTCCATACATTGCACCTCTGCAGTCTGTTACCTGTGGTCTTCTTCCAGTTTGGGAAGGTTTTAAAGTATCTTTGTAACTCCAGGAAGAACATTAAACTCCCCTATTGATTGTGCTGGAAGAGCGGCCTCGATAATTGAAACAAACACACATTTTATTGATAAATGTTTAAGGTTTCATCTCTGATCTGGGAAGGAAATAAATAACTTGTCTATGTTGCAACATCTGAGCATTCATTTTCTCTCTTCCCTCTGGGCTGTGTCACATGACAGCCAACAGAATTCACCCTTAGGAATCTGAGAGCTTATTCTTAGCAATTTGAGAACATATTCTGCTGAGATATTTATGTGATTGTCACTGTAGAAATTACATTAATCAATAACATCCTCACTAATCTGAGAAAAATGCAACAAAAACTCCACTGCTCATTGACCCAGAGCTTCACCTCCAACAGAAGAAAACTCCCAATGTGAAATACAAACACCTTTTGGTAGTTTGTGATCGGTTTTCTTGGAGATTCTGGGCGATGGTTTTGGCACTGGCAGCGGGATCCCTTCAGAGGAAGTTTCAGCTTGATTCCCAAACTGCTGCTGCCTCAACCTACTGTCAACTTCCAGCCTCTCCCGGGCAGTCCTGCAGCTCTGCTCCCTGGTGGTCAGGTACAACTCACAAAACTGCAAGGAAAGAAGGGGAATCTGGTAAGTGAAACATTCTTTCTCATGGTTTTAAGGAGTAAAATTAACATTAATAAGGAAAGGACAGGTCAGTAGATGTGATGCATTTTCTATTCAAGCACAATTTGAATTTTTCTGAATCAGAAGAACCACTCAAGTAACACAGTAAAGTGGAGCCATTCAACAAGGAGGTCCAAATATTGAATAAAAATTAAGTGTGACTTTCAACTCAATAGATGATTTATATTTCTTTCTAGAAATTTGAAGACAGAATCCTTTGTTAAAAATCATATTAGTTTTCCTCCTATGAAACTATACTTATGTACAAATCTTTGTGAGCTGTTTATCCAGTTCACAATTTAGTCATAGGCAATTTGGGATCCTGGGTAAGATCATCACTAGACACATGGAGGTGGTAATATTGCGTTTGACAGAGTCAATAACATCAAGTCAGTAACACAAAAACAAGTATCTCTGTTTGCCATACCTTGCTGTAATCAAGTTTGCCACTGCAGTTAAAATCAGCCTGTTTAGTAATTGCGTTCACTTCATCCCAAGTCATTTTATCACCTCTCTGCAATAAAAAAACCAAACCAATCGTTCTTATACTGTAGCATAGTTTTACCATCTAATTTCCAAAATCTCTACTTATGGTTAAAGATGGATAATTGAGTTTCCACTGCTACTTACTGTTGTAAGGATTTTATAGAGTTCATCATGTAAAATATATCCAGTTTTATCTGTGTCTATTTTTCCAAATGCTTCGAGCAGCTCAGTTTTTGTAACTGGCTTTTCTTGTTTTAAAATAGCACAAAAATCATCAAAATTCAGTGCAGTTGTTTGTGAAGTCCAGTATTTATTAATGGTCTTCTGAGATGGATTTCTTCCAGCCTGTTGAAGTACTGAACAATATAACACAATATTAACTATATATTCCAGCTGTCAGTAAAGGAGTTTTCTCAAAACATTCTTGAGACACTTTCCACGTTCAGACTTTTTTTTTAAGCCAAATCACTCCAAGGGAAAAGTGGGTCTAAAGGACAGTCTTGGGTATAGTCTCAATGAAAATATCCACAAATTCAAAGGCAAGTCTTCTCAAGTGACAAGTGTAAAATTCAGCCTATATCCTGTGTCTTAATATCAATAGCACATTATTTGTAAACCTGCACATTATTAGATCCTGTTTCTACTAAAATCTCTAACAGTCTTTCCACTTAGTTTGCCAAAAACTGAGATCTAGTGCAGAATTTATCTTAAACAATATTTTATGTCACATCTACACATTCAAACTTATCAATTCAAATTACACAACATGAAAGGAAAAATTATACCAACAGATACACATTAAAGCCAACAGCCAATTCCACACATGCAACCAGTGCCTTGCGTCTCACACCTGGCACTCTTCAACATAAATTTCCTGGATCTAGTTTGCCTCTTCCAAGTCTTCACTGAAAACATCCTTTCATCAGTTCTCAGTGTGATGAAGGTATGATGTTAAATTGAAATTAAACTCCAATGAACAGTCTGTGTGAATCCAGAGGGATGCCTCTATATCTTGCCATATAATCAAGTCTTTTAGGGAAGCACAAGAGATCCTTCATCTCCACCTGGGCTGACATTTGATTTCGAGCCAGCTGAGCACTGACCAGGCCTGTGCTGAGAACTGCCCAGGACCATCTGTGAAATGAGGTGGTGGCATCGTTACAATGCTCGGTGAGCAACTGTGTCACCATCAAAACAAACAAACAAAACCAGACACCTTTGTTGCTAATCTGCAGCTGAATGCCAAGGACTAAATAAAGATTCCTGCCCTGTCACCTCTGCAGGCAGCACCAGGAGGACACAGCACAGTTTATATCTTCATCTGTGCCACGCTTGGGCACAGAGCAATTGTTTGGAGATTGCAGTGTCAAGGTCAGCCAAGGCAGGGCAGTTACTCTGTGTGGTTGTTTCTGTGGATAGCAGAGTTCCCTGGAATGTCAGCACAGCACAGTATTTATTTATATTTAACAGATTATCCTTCTAGTGTAAAACTCTGTGTTTTCATATATCCAGGGAGATCAGCACTTGCCATACCCTACCTGCCTCCCAAGTCTGCATTTGTGAAAATTCAATTAGCCTGCACCTTTTATTTATATTTCTTTATGGACTGATTCAGCTAAATAACCTCAGTATTATTACAACACACGGGAAATGAAGCTACTATTTGTGAATAAGCAAAATTCCTAGCAATAAAATGTCACAGGGCCAATCTCTAAGTTGAATACTTTACAGTTTAGAATATCACATAGCAAGAGATATCTAAACATTAGCACATTTGAGAAATGCCAGAATTAAGATGCAATATAATTCCACAATTCTCAATGCTTACAAATTCTAACACAAGTTCTTAAATATTTCTGAAAGGACTGGGAGCCCGAGCGATTAATTGCCCTCTCAAAGTTAACCTTGAAACCAAAATGCCCAAACACCTGCTATGGAGCCAAGTGGCACGTGGATAGAGATGAAAGCCAAAGCATATATTAAAGAGATGACACTTGTTCACACCACCCCTATCTTAAAATCCAGATTATCCTAAACTATCATTAGGATGTTATAAAGGCACTTTTATTACAGCTGAGGAAGCCTGGAGAGCACTAAGTCACATGCTGTAAGAATGTGCCTGCTGATGGGTAGGATTTCATGTACTGCTGAAGGGAAAGAAGCTCCAACCAGTGTAACACAGAAGTACAGTCAGATTCTACCAACACCTTTATTTAGTGCAGCTGAAGCAGCCAGAGAGATTTCTTTCCTGTTGTACTGCTGACAGGAACTACTTTGACACAAATACAATGTGGATTAAAAAATGAAAACTTTTTATTTCATTCTATGGAAGCATTCTAACTCAGTAGGAGTTGAAATGCAGAGTAAGGATTCCTATGGAATACCAGTTATGGTGATTTTCTGTGCCAGGACAATTGCCCAACCTAAACTGAACTGAGAGCACTCACACTGGTGATTTACAGAGAAAAAGCTCTGTCTGATATTCCCACTTCCATGAGTCATCCAACACCCAGCAACAAAGATTAAGGATTTGAGGAAAATGAAAAACTTTGAGGAACAGCAGTTTCTATAAACTTTGAAAAATCACTGTGTGATATTTTATAATAGGAAAATGTCTTCAAAGATATTGAAATCTGAACCTTATCCAAAACTACGGTGAATTCCTTAAAACTATTACTGAGCCTATGCAGTGGGATGCTCTCAGTGCTGAACTGCTTGTACAGCACCCACTGTCCCCATCCCACACAGCAGGTACAGGGAAAAGGATCAAATCATTACCTAGGCTGAGCTGTTCTCTGGATTTGATATTTTCTAAGCTGCTTTTCAGAACAGTCAGATAAGCTGCTCTGCAGTTCATGTAGAAGTTTGCTTCTTCTGTATACTGCAACTTCTTCCCTTGGGAATTTTCCACGTGTGTGCCTTTCTGAACGGAGAGGGAAGCGTTATTCCTGGGACTGCTGGCCATCCTGTGAAGGATACAATTACAGTCAGAATTTGTTACCATTTCCCTGCTTAATAATGGCTCTGTTTGCCCTGTGAAACACAGACTGGTACCAGTTATCCTAACATTTAGATGATATCCTTCCCATTGCCTAAATCTGGGATGGGAATAACTGTCTACACTTGTAGGTAGCACCATGAGATCTACAAAAAAAAAAAAAAGGCTTGAGCTCTACTTATTACTCACAATTTATTCTTCATTGGCAGTAAAAAAGTTTAATTTTACGGTATTTTATTTTATTTTCAGATGTTTGACATTACAATTATTATATAGTATATATTATATAATAAGAATATTATATAGTCATGTTTTTTGAAAGCATAAAAACATCTTTTCACGTTATCTGTGAAACAAGCCATTGCTATCCATGTTTTCTCTTTTTGCAGTTGTAACTCAATAAAACATATGGATAAAAGCAAAACTGCTCAAAACCGTCACCCTTAGTCTTTCAAATATGCCAAGTCAAGCACACAATTCTACTTCTAAGAGTTATCTAAATATAAATAATAAAAACAGATGCGCATAAAACTTTAAAAATATGCATAAAACTTTGAGCAACTTAGACTATATAATTGTTAATGAATGGAATAAAACATGAAACTCACTTTTTTCCTCAATTATTAAAACAATTCCAAGCAGTAACTGATGCTGTTTGCTCACCAATGGCCAGTAAATGGTAACAGCAGCTTTTTGCTTTTTCCAAGGGTGATTAAGGTTTTTAGAAGGCCACCACAGAGGGCCACTAAATCCTGTTGTGCTGTTGCTCTAACAGCCTCTTGTATTATTTTACCCAATGTTGACTTCAGAAAATATATTCCAGTTTAATAAATGGAATATCTCAAGTTCAGCAACAAGACAACGACATCGGAGGGTCCCCTTCAGGACTCATTGGATTTTGACTCGGGAGGCCTAAATCACTTGCACCTTGGTGAGTTATACAGGTCTTTTACACTTGGGAAAGGAAGATAATAATCTCTTCTCATGGATGAAGTACCCTATTTGTAATACCCAGCCTGCCTGCCTGACACTTTAATATTACACAGGCACTAGAAAGACCCCACAGGGACCCCCTGCCACAGTCTGGCTCCTGCAAACGGGTATCACTATAATAAAGCACCAGTGTTACACACACAAAATGGAACGGGGGGGAAAGTCAAGGAGGAAAAGAAGAATAAATGTTAATTTTCCAGTAACTAGTTTGTAAAATGTGAACTCTCGTTTGTGCTCCTTGGACTTCCCATTGCTGAGATATTTCCTGTGTGGGCCACAGTTCTGCCAAGAAGTGTTACCAATCCATTGAGGGAAATCCAGCGAGCAATGGCTCAGTGACAGCACTGCCAGCAGCCCCATGGCTTGGGCTGGGACATTTTTACTGGATAAATGACACTTTAGACAAAACAGGTGGAGGGGAGCATTCTGGGTCAGGCTTTTAAACTGGGAGAGAGTAGGTTTAGATGGGCTATCGGGATGAAATTGTTCCCTGTGAGGGCGGTGAGGCCCTGGCACAGGCTGCCCAGAGAAGCTGTGGCTGCCCCATCCCTGGAAGTGTCCAAGGCCAGGTTGGATGGGGCTTGGAGCAACCTGGGATAGTAGAAGGTGTCCCTGCCCATGGCAGGAGGTGGAATGGGATGGGTTTTAAGGTCCCTCCCAACCCAAACCAGTCTGTGATTCTACAGAGCAGGAAGATGACACAAGAACTACTACCTTTGATTTTTGGTCGTATGATTCTAACAGATAAAAAACATCTTCCAAACAGGAATTAAGTCACTGAATCCCAGAATCACTGAGATTGGAAAAGCTCTCCCAGCCCATCGAGTCCAGCCTGTGCCCGATCCCCACCGTGTCACCCAGCCCAGAGCACTGAGTGCCACATCCAGTCGTTCCTTGGACACCTCCAGGGATGGGGACTCCACCACCTCCCAGGGCAGCCCCTTCCAATGCCTGAACACCCTTTATCTGAAGAAATTATTCCAAATATACAAAGTCAGACCCCTGACGACAACACTGACCTTCAGGACCGAGGCTCATCCATAGAGCACGCACAGCTGCACAGGGAAGCTTCGCCCTGCTCCGGCCTCGCCCACCTGAAACGAGGAAACTTTTACCTCATGGATCTCGTCACCTCCCTCACGGGTGGGCGCAGCCCCTTTCAAGGGCTAAATTTACTCCCCACCGTAGAAAACATTACAATCCCCTTCCCCCAGCGCATCTGAGGGGAACCAACAACCCTCCCTCCCTCCTTCCGCCCCCCAAGCGGCCTCTGAGGGGACCCCTGAGGTGCGTTTGGCCGCCCCGAACCTCCCGCCCGAAGCTCCCCGGCCCGGCTCGTACCGCGCACGGCGGGGCCCGACGAGTCCAACCCGGCCCCGGTCTGGGCCCCGCAGCCCTGAGGGGCTCCCCCGCCCTGCTCCGGCCCGGCCCGCCCTCGGCGCCGTTTCCAGCCGGCGGCGTTTGGCGGGAGCACGGCGGGAGCTGCGAGGAGGCGGCGGGAGCGGCGGCGGGATGTCGTGGGTATCGAGGGGCGTGCGGAGCCTTTCTGCTCCACTTTCCGCTCCGCTTCCTCCCTTTTCCCTCTGCTCCCCTTTCCTCTCCTCTTCCTCTTCTTCCCTCTCCCCTTTCCCTCCGTTCCGCTCCCCTCCCCTCACGGCTTCCCGCCCTCGGGAGCCGCCGCTCGGCGGGAGCTGCGCTCCCCTCACGGCGGCGGGGCGGCTCCCGAGCCCCTTCCCTGAGGGGAAAAGTGCCCCGAGGGTCGTCCCGGAGAGGGGAGGAGCGGCCGGGGGGAGGGCGGGATTTGTTTCCAGAGGAAAACAGAGAACGGGAAATGCTTTCGATGGCGGTTCCCCTGGCGGAGTTGGATGGGTGATGTTGCTGTGGTTGATACTCTCTGTTCTGTGTTTCCGAAGGGGGCCGGGGGTGACTCCTTCCCGTGGTGCCCAGTGACAGGACAAGGAGCAATGGCCTTAAACGAAAACACAGAGAATTTCACCTCAAGACGAGGAAGAACAACTTCGCACTGAGAGTGGCAGAGCACAGGAACAGATGCCCAGGCAGGGCATTGGAATCTCCCTCTCTGGAGACATTCCAAACCCACCTGGACTCATTCCTGTGTCACTTGCTCCAGTTCTGGAATATCCCCAGTGAGGGAGACTCCACACCTCCTCTGGGCAATCCCAGTGCTCGGTCGCTGCACAAGAAAGAATTTCTTCCATATATTCAAGTGGAATTTCCTGGGCATCAGTTTCTGCCCGTTGCCTCTTGTCCCATTGCTGGGCACCCCCGAGCAGAGCCTGATCCATCCTCTGACCCCTCCCTTGAAGGGACTGGCAAAAAGCAGGTTTTAATATGGATTTATGAAAGTGTGACTTTGTAACAGAGTTCAATGGCAAGGTTCGTTCTATTACTACATAGATGAAACATACACAAGAAAATAGGATCAGAATCCATTTAGGATGATTTACATGGAGACTGGGGATGCAGAAGGGTCAGGGATGCAAAGGATTTGGATACAAAAGATACAGGTGCAAAAGGTGTTACCAACTTCAACAGCAGGAAGGTGAGGCCATAAGATCCCTGGTGCCTCTATATAGGCTTGGGATATTATCCCAGTTTATAACTCCTTATGGATTTCAAAGGTAAATGTTAGAGCTACCAGAGGTTCCAACCTCTGCCAGTCCTGACCATGGAATTTGTAGTAGTCATGGCAGGAGACAAAGGAAATACAAAGGAAACAACAATACACAAATTTTGATTTTTTTTGTTTGTTTGTTTAAGTCGGCTTCTCACTGGTCATGCACTGTTTCACCACCATTTAAGCTGAACATAGGAAATTATAGGACTTTTTTCTGCTTTTCCAATTGAAAAGACATTTTCACTGGCACGTTTGAAGATGGAGCAATGTGTAAATAGCAGAGAGGTGCTTTGGTTTTTTCTCCAGTAAAAGTAGAACCTAAAGAGGAAGCAAACTGAAGTGGCCTCAAAATGCACTACAATAACCTCTAGGGCATTTTTAATGAAATAATGTGATCAAATCCCTGATTCTCTATGGTTTTTTTGTGCATTAACCTTGGACATGGCTGTTGCTGTTGCTTTCATTCATAAATTATAAAGGAGAGGAAGTGAAGTTCTTTAACCTGATAAATATTATGGGCAAAATAATCATTTCAGATTGGACAGCTGGCTAGAAACACATGCTATCATACTCTGCATGGTCAAGAAAATAAATTAAGTCTCGTCAGGCTACAATTCAAGGGTAGAAAACTCAGACTGAGTTGTTAAATACTGTCACCTCATGTACCTCATCTTTCCGTCTCCTTTTCTTGTTCACAGTCTGACATTTGGTTCTACACTGGAGCCAAAGTGAGGCTTTTCCAGCCATATAAAAAAGATAACTCAAATTAAAACTGCTGCTCTTCGTGCTGTTCCCTAAAATACTTCAGGAATTTTGTTTGCATATATTGGTTTCTCACCTTTTGGAAGATCAGAGGGGAGACAGTTTGGCCAACAGGGTTCTCATGTTGGGTGTGGGAATGAATTTTGTTTTGGAGTCCAAGGCAGGGAGCACAAATTTTAAATGATTTTGATGTAACTTCTCACATTATGGCATTGAAAAGACAAACATTAAAAACACAGCCACAAGCAAATGAGGCTGCTGTGTAGGATGGATTGGGAAACACAAGGAAAGGTTGTCTAAAGCTAAAATTGTGTCTTCCAATGTAATATTCCAGCCCTTTCCAATGTAATATTCCAGCCCTTTCCAATGTTTAAGTGCTTAGAATGAGGCTCCATCTTTGCCCCCATAATCTGGGGAGTTTGCAGGGGTTTTGGAGATCAGCAGAGAGAAATTTGGGCTTCTCTGTTCCTGTCCACAATATTTGACAGACTCCAAAGAACGTACCTTTGATCAGTCCACAACTTTCCCCCTAAGAAATTTTTCTCAATGTTTATAATTTAATGGGATTTTCATTTAGTTTCTCATTTCTCTTCATCCTACAGCTGTGCTGAGTCCAGATCCTGCTTTTTACTTTGGCTTTCAGTCATAAAATCTTCCATCATCACATGCCTTGGTACAACATGCAAATGCACTGGCCCCCAGAGCATCCTCTCTATTAATAAATAGGATATTTCCCTGCTGCCATAGGCTGGAAGGTGGAATGGAGTCAGGATTCCTTCAATATGGGTTTCTCTTTAAAAAAGAAATACATTGTAAAGAATTCCATCAAACTGTTACAGCTTTCACTGCCCCTTGGCCAGAATTTCATAGGCTTTTTTAATTTTAATGTTACCTGTTCCTTTGGCATTTTTAACACAGAACGTTCTCTTCCCCTTTTTGTAATGGAGATGGTCGTAAAACAGTTTTCATATAAGACCCTTACCTGAGTTACATATCAAAGATGTGCTTCCATTTCTATTGTCTTTAATTTACTGCAGCATAAATTTAAAAAGGGTATGTCTGGAATGAGGTCATCTTAATTCCTTACAAAGCAAAACATTCTTTTCCAAGATGAAAACTGAACCAAGTTCTTGAAATATGATGTATATTGCAAATCCTGTTTCATTTAATATAATATATGCATTTCTTGGGGACTGTTCTTACACAGATTTTTTTGTTTCTTGTTGTTTTATATCGTGGTTTAGACCAAGATTTAGGAACGTGCTTAAAAACTTTCAGTTGTCTGTGGGAAAAATAGTCTTAATTTATGTTGACCTTTCTTTCCTTGGAGCATTTAGCCTGCATTCAATAAAATTTTGATGACTGCTCTTTAGCAGACAGCTGTACCATATAAAGTATTATAAATATTCAGCTTTCCCCTTCCAGTGTTGCCATTAACAGCTGGGCATCCAGTTCAGCAGAGCAGATTTTGCAGAGAGAGCTTGGCATGTTCCTGAATCAGGAGAAGGAAGAAGGGAAGCAAATAGTTTCTTATGGTTTGGGGACCTGTAAAGACATAGAGCATCTGTTCCCCTGTTAAGTCATAGTCTGGCAGCACTGAATCATGTTAAGAGCTAAAATGATGGGAAAAACTACTTTTTTCTCCTTGGCTGTACCTGTGTTTTAAATGGCTTTGTGCATTATTGCAACTAATGGCAAAATCCTTTCAACCCTTGCTCACAAGGTATGTAAAAGAAAAGGATTTTGTGGGTTTTTTGGTGTTTATATCTTGGGGAAAAAGCAAATATTCAGTGTGATTTCGCTTCAGTGTCTTGATTTTTATCTCTATTATAAAATGGAGAATCAGGTTTTCTTATGCAAACATTTTCATCTTGGTACACAGTATTTTAATCAGTTAATAGATTTGCTTTGGATGACATTTGTTTTCTTGTGTAAATGTGAAACACGACAAAGGAAACCGTCTTTAAAAATATCAATTATAGATGTTTCTAAAAGAAATCTTTGTGTCTAGATACCATAAAACTTGTCCATATTTTTCTCTTGCAGAGTTAAGCGAGCATTAAAGTTGGACACTGTCAAAAAAGATAATGTAAGTATTTTTTGGTGTATGGAACCATCTGTTTATATGTGTGTATATATATATATTTATATCTATATGTGTGTGTTTCTATAGGTGTGTATATTTCTATGTGTATGTATCTATGTGCAAAAATTATGTGTGTATAAACGTGCTATTTCATTAGAGCTGCTTTTATATTGTTACAGATTGGCTGTTGTCTGGGAAAATCCTGAGCCACAAAATTACTGCTGACAAATATTATAGTATAAAATTGATAGTATTTCATTTGTCACAGAGCTGCCTGGTGTTAAGTAATGTACATCTGCATGAATCACTTGAAAAATATGCACATTGTTATTGCCATCACTATTTACCCAAGAGCTGAATGAGTTAAGATCCTCGGTGAAATAATTTATTAAAAATTAGCTCCATTATCCTGGGAGCAAATGCTCTGCCCTGTAATTGTACGTGGAACAATATGGAATTATGGCAATGCTGGAATCTGCATATCACAAACTGCAAAATTGAAATGAAAACATTAAAGGCATTTTCATGTCAGAGCTGTAATTACCTCCCTCAGCTAATCTGGCAGAATGAAACAATAAAGTACAAACACTGCCATAAATTTCACCACAGTTATCACAATGAAAATAAAATTGTACTGGTGCTATTATTTTTTGTAAATGCAGCTCCAGCGTCCTCCCAGTCCCAGCATGGTGGGACATATGTCGGTTTATTGTCTCTCCTACCACGGTGGGTGTTGCTGTAGAGGATTTTGGGAGGATGGCAGGCTTTAAAGGAAGGAAAATTTGGGAAAAGTACAGGGAGAAATAACTGATCAGCAAACGAGCTCCCAGGAAATCTCCATCTCTGTGTCATTGTGAAGAGATTTGCTCCTATGCAGCACATCTTTGGAGGCCTCACTGGTGTTTAGCAAGGTAGAAATTCACAATTTTAAAAATTTTTCTAGATATTTTTTTATAAATTTAAACAAAGGTGGCAAAATACTGCAGTGGCACTAAAAAAAATCATTAGCAATTTAATTAGCAGCTTAGTGTACCATTACCCAACTTGTTCTGCTCACAGTGCAGCTGTGAGTGTCATTTTGCATCTGTTTCTTAGGCTGTGGTAACATTTTTGTAGGTGAGTGGTCCAGCTGAAATTCCATGGAATTCTTTTTCTGCCTTAAAGCAGATGAGCTAAAAGGAGTTATTTGATGGTTACCTGCATTCAGGTTCTTGTGTAGCAAAAAGCTTCACAAAAGCCCATCTGAGTGATCAAAACTTTCAGTGGGAGCTCAGTGATGTGGGTTTACACGGATTTTTAGTTCATACAGTGCCTCTAATGACATGGTAGAGATTTAGTGTGCCATAATTAAATAACTTTTTAGAAGGTAGGAAGGAACATAAAGTAGTAAACACACATTATTTGATTGAAGTATCTGTTTCATCTTTGCTGTTTCTACAGTTCATTCCCTGTTTTTCAGGAGTCCCTCATTCCACCTCCTGGTCAAAATACCTATGAACTAAAGGTCAAAAATGAGTATTTTTAGATTTTGGAATGTTTGCATGATATCATTAAAAAATTGCATAACTGGACTAAAACTCTTCTTCCTGGAGGAGAAATTCTTACTGCCAAATAAATACTGTCCTTGTAAGTACAACAGGAACTTTCTCCAGGTAGTTGCTCGGATGTGGATATGCTTATCCATATCCAGAGGTGGCTGCTGTTCAAGCAGGAAAAATATCCTGAAACTGTGAGCAGATTGGAGATTTGTTGACATGTAAGTGCCTAAATGGGCATTGATATTTAAATTAATATTTCATTTAAAGATCATTTGAAACATTTCTTTAACCTGCTTGAATGTGGCAAAACAGTGGCAACAGACTGAGCATTTGCATCAGGTGTTGTGTCAGTACTGACAGACAAGAGCATAAATGGCTGATGGGAAATTATTTAGGGTATTTGAGACTAAAACAAGACAGAGGTGAGTGGGCAGCAAATTAAACATTTCAAAATATGGTGTAAGTCATATTACTAATGACCAATACCAGCACTGCCATTAGACATATTGAAATCCTAAGCCAGGCACAAAATTTGGAGTTTAAGGAACTTACTTGGGATTTTTTAAATTAACATTTGTGTAGATAATCATTAGAAATAACTATCTTTTGATGCAATTAAAATCTAAAAATAGTTGCTTATAGTTCTTATGTGTCTTAAATTCTTAATACTGTAGGAAAAATAATATCAGGTTTCGGCTGCTTTAAAAAACCCAAACCGACCAACCAGGTGATACCTAAATCTCTGCAAAACACAGACTTTTTCTTTATGGAAAAAGGAGCTTTTATTTTTTTAGAGTAAAACTAATATTAATGAGGAGGGGGAGTGAGAGAGCAGCTTGGTGGGCACGAGGTCAATCCACCACAACATACAACATGGGCTTCCAATTTATGGGAGTACATAAAGTTAGGAATTACTGAGGAGAACCTCTTAGCAGATGGTAAATGTTCAGAGAGATTTTATCAATATTAATCTAGATATTTTTGTATTTTGCTACATTTCAGCCATCTGATGCAACGCCTCAGAAGGTCCAAAAGAAAAATCTGAATTCTTACTCCCCAACAACAGGAACATGTGAGATGAGTCCCTGTTCATCCCCTGTGAGCCACAATGAACAAAATCCCAGGAACCCCCCAGCAAAAGGTTAGTTGAACATTCCCTCTTTCTTAATACAATATTTTCCTGATTATTGGCTTGATCTAGTAGCTTGTCTCTCATGTGCTATGTTTGTTTCCTTTTTCACCTTAAAAATTTTTAATCTCTTTTGGAAAAGCTGATGTTGACTTCTAAAGCTTGAATCTTTTCAGTCTAAATCTTGGGGGTGTTTATGAAACAACTTGTTTATGAGGCAAGTTTTGCTTTCTGTTGCTCAGTATTAAAAATATTTGGCTTTGACTCAGTGAAAAACTTCCACACTGGCATTTTTGTCAATAATTCCATTAATTCCCCTGGTTTGGCATGTTAGCAAAGTCCTTTTTTATTTAGTGTATTTTTTGACAATTATTTTTCATGGTAAGGCACTTCAAGGCAATTTTTGATGAACATAATACTGAATGTCATTAGCTTTCAGAAAATATATAATTATTTTTATAATTATATTATTTCCAGTTCCCTTTAGGATTTCCATCCCCTTAGTTACACAGCCACAGTTTTTAGTGCAAGCTCCGAGTGCTCAAGAAGTGGATTTTCAGTGGCCTGAGGTGCTTTTATGGCTCTGTAGGTTGTGGGGGTGATCTCTTTAAGTGTCAGGGAACCACAGGGAAGAATTGATTGTGTGTCTCAACCAGTCATGGAAACCTCATTTATAGAAAGGACCTGTATTTTAGAACAGTCTTGCTTCCACAAAACTGAAGATTTATCAGCTGGTGTGTGTTTTATTTTGTGGCCTTTTAGGAACTGTGTTGGGATTTGCAATGCAAGGCCTGGATTATGTACTTGCAGGTCTGGGATGGAGACAGTAATCCTCTGTCACAGGGCCTGCCCTGTCTTGTGAGCAATTCCTCCTCTCAAACTAAGTGGCTTCTTCTTGATTCCTGAAAAGATGGTTATTTGGCATGGTGGGCATATCCATACTCCCACTTCCTTCACATCCCAAAATCTTCAGAGACATTTAATCAGCCCTTTGGGTACTGACCCCTACCATCTTAAAAGACTCTAAACAGTTTCTCTTTGGGATTATTTTCCTCTTCAACATAGTTGCATTAATGCTGTGTCTTAAGTGTTTCCACAAATACTCCTGGTTATGTGGTGCATTTTTTTCTTGGAATCCAAACCCACTGGTTTCCAACTTTCTTCTTGCTGTGAAAAGTGACTGTTCCGGTGAGCAGCTTCCTGACTCTGTTTATTAGGGAAATTATGTTCTTGGCATCTAAATTTATCTACTCTGTTTTCCTGCAGAGAGAAAGGTATTTTCAAAGATTTCCCAGGTCAGATTTCTCTGTCAGTCTCTGCTTTTATCAGCAGAAAGGAAATTTTGTGTTTGAATGCTTTAACTTCTCTATCAAGATTTGGTGGTACTTGCTGGTAAATATGAATCTCTTCATCCTGTACAAAGGAACCTTTCCACGAGAAGAGTTGCCAGTAGTTGTTCTTCTTACCTTTGCAAAAGCTTTTAAAATTGTGTATAATGATAGCAGTTAAAATTAAAAATCTGTAGCTCTCTGGATATGTTCTCTTGACTATCCCTACGTTGGTAATTACCTGCTTTAATGAACTGTTAATTTTCATGACAACACACAAATGTTTAAATTACTACAACTTTTCAAACTTTCCCAGCCTCTCTGCACTTGAGTTAGATAATGCCTTATGTCTCAGGTGAAAGTAGAACAGGGGCAAAATGTCTTGAATTAAAATGTATATTAGGATGTCAGTGGGAAAGGTGAACATGTATTTCCATCCTGATATTAAGGGTGGACATAGGGGAACATTCCTTTTGCCTATAAAAAGCCTGATCACATGAGCAGAGCTGACATTTAGATGGATAATTACTCAGTAATGTAGCACTAACCAGCTCTTTTTTTCCTGTGTTCATATAGGTACAAAATGGTGTTATACAATTATGAAATCACAGGTTTCAGGGTGTCCTTTTAAACCCACAATCTCTGTTCTCCTTCTGAAAAAACACTTTTATTTTAAGAGCTGTGGTGCTTTAATAGGTTCTGGGTATCACGTTTGAGGTGTTACTCTATAATCAATATTCTATTTTTCTGTGACCAATATGTAAGAAAACAACAGAACAAAGATTACTACAAAATTAAGTTCAAGTCCTATTGACTACTTAGATTTAAAATTGAATCTTTGGGGGTCTTAACCTTCAGCTGCTGTATTGGAACAGCTTAAACTTGTATAGCACTTCGTCATTCTGAGATATTTCTGAGTGTTTTACAAAATATTAAAATTAAAAGTTGATTCGTCCTTGAGTGCTGATACTTGTGTGTAATAATTCAAATTTAATAAGAAATCGAAGTGTTTAATGCTTTGTGTGGCCTCCCTTTTTTAGTCTGATGTCAGGAAGGAGGTTTCTTACAGAGAGATGTGAAAAGCACCTCATTCCACAGGGTGGGATCTGGAATTGCCAGAATTATCCCAACTTCCAGTTATTAATACTCTAATCCCAAGGTTTCCAGGAATATAAATGTAAAGTGAGTTGATGAGAGCTCAAATTACGAAAGTGTAAATTGTAGTGAATTCAGTGTGGTTCACTCCAGGGAATCTGTCCTGCTTTCCAAGTGAGTTTGGGTGTTTTTTCCTCTTCCTAAAAGATCATTCTAAAATCAAGATTGATAGGAACACCTACTTCACGTGCTTCGAATAGAAAATATCTTATTGTTATCTTTATTGTTTCTTTTCTTCCTTGTGCACTCCGAGGAGGTGGGAGAGAGCAGAGCAATTCCGACCCTGGATTATCCAGGAGAGGGCAGCCTCCAACAGAGCAGGATGGGTGAGTGCATCAAACGTGTTCACTTTGTCATGGGGGCAGTGATTTTTATTTAATATTTCACACAGAATTCAATTAATAGCCATTCTTTTGAGTGCTTCTGATTGCACAGGATTGGATATTCAAAGGCACTGAATGGTTATAGGTGTAAATTAATGCAAAATCTTTTACAATTCTCGTCTTTTCTGCCACAATCTAATTTTAAGGTATAAATTTCCTGACCTTAATGAACTTTGGGCAATCCCCAGTTAGTAAAGCACTTAAATAAATGTTTCAGGTGAGGTGTCTGATGGGCTGTTTTCCTAGATAGGCATTATTCAACTAAATGTCGTGTTTGAAGTTGTAGCTCTTCCTTTTGAGCTCTCAGTTTGTCTGTTGGGCTTTTTCCTTGTAATGGATGTTTCCCCCACCATGAGCTTGAAATTCCTTCATTGTAGAACAGCGTTTGCTGAGTGATGGAGTTCGGCAGAATTGTTTGGGTGACTTTACATAGTGAAAAATAAAATATTAAAATTATACCAGTGGTAAACTAAACTGACTTAGGGGGTTTTTTGGTGGTTCGGTAATTCCCTTGGTCAACTCATTTCTTGGTGACGGAACCCTGAACTGCAGAACAATTGGAGTAATCAGAGCCTTCATTAACGTGTAAATGTTTGCCTTCAGTAATTCAGTATATTTTTAAAAGCTTTGCAGAAGACCAGCAGTTACTGACCTGCCACTAAAAACATTTATAAACCAACACCTACACTTGATATTTATGTGAACTTCCAGACACTTGATTTTTACAGGTGGAAAATATATAGTCCAATACACTGCTATTATTGTTTTCTTTTCTCATATGGAAATGTAGTTTTCTACATTTCCATACCGTAGCTCTGTTCCTAAATTTGAGGTTTTTATAAGGATAATTCTCCCTTCTGTGAGAGGAAACAGTAAATAGATTATTTGATTTGCATCTTTAAATGGTTCAAAGAGAAAATACTCTAAACTATCATGGCAGGAATTTTTTTAATGTGCAAATCCTGAAGAAAATCCTCTGATACTGCTGAACCTGAGTTCCTTTCCTTAAAATTAGGATATAAGGATTTTTGGCAGTTGGGATATGAATCCCAACCAAAGGCGGGTTGGTTTTGGTGTTACAGGACACTGAGCTGGATCCAACCTGATTACATTGGGAAGAAACTCTGGGAAACATTGCAAACATGGAATTTCAGTGAGTGGTGATGAGAGTAATTGGAATTGTTTTACTTTTTCTGGATCCAGGTTCCTGAAACTGCAGTCCCAAGTGAGAAGTTCATTGGGCAGAATTCTGAAAATAAGAGCAAATCTCACAAGCCTCCAGGTCTGCTTTGCACTGATTTATTTTTTATCTGCTTTTAATACAGGATTTGAAATCAAAATTAAAATTTTATAGGCAGCATTTAAATTTTAGGGAAGCAAATAAAAGACTTGAAGTCAGGCAGGTTCGACTTGGAAATCCAGAAAATGCAAAAAACCTCAGAACTTAGAAAAATTTTTTGAACTAGACGAATTGCTTTTCCAAGTCCACCGTTTTTAATTTGTATCACTCCTCCTTTTGTTCACAAATAAAACCATAGGTAGTTCTCAACTGTTACTTATAACTTGAAATATGAATTATTACTACGTAGATTTTTGTGTCCTTTAAAATGAAATATCCCTTTTTGATGAAGTGATGGTACTATTTAATTTACCACTAATGTGTCATCACTTAATAGTTTGTTTAATGCATGTTAAAATGCAAATCACTCTTCTATTTTATTCCCATTTTGTTTCATTTTGAATAAATGTAGCAGAAGGTTCATTGCTGTATATCAATAGCTGGGAAATAATTCAGTGTATTCAGAGTACTGTAGTGATATATTTTATGTGCTTTGACAAGGTTTTATTTACTAAAAAAAAGACTGATACTAATTTAAAATATGTATTTACTTGCTAGAATTTATTTGAAATATATTAATTGAAATGTTTATTTATTAGCAATTTCCAAAAGTTCGTTCTTTCGGGTGTTTTTGATAAGTTGTAGACAGCTAGTAGATAGTTTGGGAATGGGATTTCCCAGTGTCTTTAATTGTTGTTTTCCAGGCTTTGGAGGGCAGCAGAGAGCTGGAAAATATCCTCGGTGTCTCAGACTCCTCTCGTGCCCTGAGTGCTGAAGTGCAGAAAACCCAAACACTGCGTAAGGAGGGTTTCCAGTCTGTTTATCCCCTTTCTAACCATTGAACAGGGATCACTCCAGATGGTTCCCGGTGTTATAATGGAGTGTCACAGCCCAGGATTCTGTTTTGGTCAAGAAAAATGCATTTTAAATCTCCTCGTGCATCCAACAGGGACATAAAAGACAGGCAGCCCCATGTCCTGCTCTTCCAACTCAATGGGGAGGGAAAACTTGGAAGAGCAACACCTTTTCTCATGTAAATAGTTAGATACTTAGTGGGTACTTAGCTGGGAATTAGGATAAACGTTTGCACTTGGATTGCTTTGCTTGTCTTCTCTTCTTCCGAGGAAGTTGGTTTGTTTGTTTGCCTGGCAGGAGGATTAGGCTGAATATAAATTTCCAGGCTTTAAAAATCGCTATTCATGTGTCTTTAAATGATGGACATTCCAGATGCTTATTGTGTTGGGATAAGGGCGCTTCCCAGATGGCACATCTGTAATACTTTGCCAAAGGAACCCGAAAAGCTGAAGTTTTTTCACTTAACATGTGTCCATTTTTAGGAAACTCTTTATCCTTTTTCCAAGTCAGAGGTTCTGAAGTTGATTCCTCCTGCTCTTCCCAACCAGAAGGGGAGGATGTGATGGGGAAATACTCTAATGAAAAAGAAACCAGTGTGGATATTTGCAGGAGAAGACCAGAGATATTGGCTTGCAGGGATAAGAAATCAGGGTCACCTTTTCCAGGTCATTTACATTGTTCTTGGAGACTTTTCATGCCAACCTCCAGCTGGGCAGGGAATATGAGCAATACCTGGATACAGCCAGTCCCTGTGTCCACTCTCCAGACAAACATGCAAAGGTGATAAAATAGTTTCTTAACCTGCACCAAAAGTGCCAACAGACATCATTCTATAACCTGCCTCGTTGCTCTGTTTTCTGCCAAGTAAAAAAGCACTGGAACCAGCTCCAGGGCAGCAAAACCTGGAACTGCTCTGTTTGCAGTTGGAAACAGGTGGACAGTAAAGCCAACAGGTGCTAGAGAATTTTTCTTCCCAGAGCATTGGAATTTATGCACACAATTCCAGCAGCTGCTGTTGTTTAAATTACCATTTCTTTCCTGACAGTGTATTCCAAAGCTTTTCCTTTTGCATGTGTATACACTGCACTGTTCCCTCTGTAATGGCAGAGCCTTTCTTATACAGAAGGAAATTCCCTGGAAATAGTCTGTGTTCCCATCCCTGCTCTGGATAGGACAGTCCCACAGCCCAGAGGAGAGCTCACACCTACTGCTGACATCCTCTGTCATGTCCATCTTTCTGTCAGCTCCTTGGGAAGGAATCCTCTTTTCCCCATCTCTGATTTAGGAACAAAGCGCAGCAAAAAATGGGAACAAAATGTGGTATGAGGCTGAAAGCACCACTTGTCAAAATTATCTGAATTTTGAAAACTTTTTGTTAATTTTTTAAAGCACAATTACATAGGTAAGGGCTTTTTTCCTTGAAATGCATTGAAAGTGAAGAAGGCAGCAGAGGGATCATTTCCTTTGAAATCTCTGATTTGGGATTTATTTCTTCACTAGTGAGTCAAGCAGAAGAGCTGCAGCTGTTGAAAGCAAACCATGGAAAACTCCCTGCCCCAGGTGAGAAACTGTGTGTAACTCCTGTGTAACTCGTGTTTTGATTCCTTTTGGTTGATTCCTTCTTAGCTCTTTCCACTTGCAATAAGTTGGGTAACATGGAGTTATGAAAACTATGAGAATCAAATGTGTTTCCTCTGAAAACTTCCACTACACAAATTTAGTATTTTCTGCTCTTTTCATTGTATTGGGTGTTTCTCCATGAAGTTGGTGACATTTAATACCAGGTGGGCACTTCAGAGCCTTGGCAGGAAGGAAGGGACACACACAGGATTGGGATTTTCTTTCACACACGGTAAAATCAACAACTTCCCCACTGATATTCTGATATTTCTGTTCTCTTCACACATTCTGTCTGAAAATAGAGCAAAACCAGAATTAAAAGCATTGATAGCATCTCTGCTGCTTCTTTGGTTTGGATCTGCTCAGGCCTAAATTCGCTCTGCTGTGGGGAATTCTCTTAAGGGAAAGAAAACTGCTTAAACTTAGGTTTCCTGGGCTCCAGCAGATTATCTCCAAATGTAAAGGAGTGACAACCCTTTGGAAGAAATTTGGCTCATTTGTGCAATCTGCTCTCTCTGATTTACAGCTCCCTGTGTCCTCCTGTTCCAATGATCCCAGTGACGGGAATGCCATGGGCCAGTGCAGATTTAAACACTCACTGCCTCCTTTGTGCCCTGCTCTTTAATGCATATTTTTTTGTTCCATCTTTGTTCTAAAAACCAGCCCCTAACACCAAACACATACCCAGTCTTGTTAGAGGAGAAATACTTTATGGAAGTGGGGTGGAAAATAGAATTCTGAGTTTAAGTTCACCAATTTTTATGTAGTTTCAGTGTCAGTTTTGTTTTAACAAAGAATAAATTCAATTTTGCAATCTTGGAAATGCAGTTGTAGGAGAGGCAGAGAAGTGTGTGATCAAAGGAAAGCATTTGGAGATGTTTGCCTTTGCCTTTTAGTTTTGGATGTGGTTTTTTCAGAATTATTTTTAATTAGTTATGGCAAGGCTGAGAACTTATGACTGTTCAGTGGGTTGGTACCCAGGGAATGTCACATTATCATCACATGGTGAGGCATGAAATTTATTTACTTTACATAAACAACCTCCTCTTAAAACAACTCCATCCAGAACATTCCTGGCTCAATGGGCAGCCTTGTGTGGAGCTCAGTTTATCATTTTGGGTGACCAGCAGGAAAAAAGGGCAGCATTGTCTGGCCATGACTGGAATTTACAGTAAACAAAATGTTTTGGAATAGAAAGTAAGCAAATGGTAAAACAACTGCCAAGAGATGAAATGGAGTCGGTGTATCCCAGTCCCAGCCATGCCCTGCGTTTGCTGGGAATGGCTGTGTAGGTTGGGCTGTGCATATTTTAAAGGAAAGTTTAATAAATTGGGAGATTCCAAGAGTGAAGATAAGATTCCAAACAGGAAAGCTACTTTGGTTGGTTGTTACAAACTATACTAATACTTTGCTTCCCAAAACCAGTGACATAAATCATATCCATGACTCCATCTGCTGTCCATGTGGGAAACAAGGGAGTGTTAGAGCAGATCAAATCTTGCAGTGTTGGGAAAAACTGTTTTCAGGCTACAATGAAATCCAAAATACTTTCTTTCCATGGTGTTGTTCATCCTGCCCAGCTCAGGGGGAAATACAGTCACCCCCCGAGTTTAGTTCTAAGCATTCCCAGCTTCCATCTTGGTGTTAGTACAAGGGACTGACTTTTGCACTCTTGGATCAGTAGTGGTGGCTTTCCAAGAGACTGGGTCAGGATCAACTGGGCGGATTTTCATTTAATGTCACTTGGAGTCACTAAAAAAGCAAAGCTGGAGAGATCAGGGATGAAGTAAAGTTGAGTTCCCATTCACCAATCCAGTTTTTTTAAGACTGGATAGATGGCAAAACATAAATTCCATCGCAGAACTGCAAAATGCAGAAGCCTTCTTAGTAAGCAGAGTTCCTTCTCCAATCAGATAGAAAGGTAAAAATACAGTATTCCACTATTTATCCCAATTCATGTCAGTTTGAGTTTGGACATTGGGTATCCTAGGACTAAACCCCTTGGGTCTGCTCTGCTGGTGGGTTGAAGGCAGTGAGGGTAAGTCACATTTACAATTTATTTTTTACATCATTCTCACATAAAGTAAAACAAATTTGTTGCTCTTCAGACATACTTGGGGTCTGTCCCACCTATCCTTCCTCCTCCTCCTCCTCCTTTGGGGTCTCCTGGGGAAAAGGGGAATACATCAGACTGCAGAGGTGAATTTTTCTGACTGTAAAACCTTAACTTAAAAAACATGGTTATTTTTCTCAGCCCAACTTTGGACTCACTTGCAGGGAAGAAATGTCATTATCCCTTTGCTGGGAAAAGTAAGTCTTGAGAACTTAAGTGAACTGAGTTGGTTCACAACTAAATTGATTCAGAAACTTGAGCTGCTTTCTAGTGTTCAGATTGTGATTCAGATGCACAACAGCTCTAAAAGGAACAAAAATGATGCTGAAGGACTTGTTTTCAAGCAGATTATTAGATGGAGACTTAGAGTTGTGTTTGCAAACATTGTTACTCAATGCTTAGGCCAGGTTTGGTGTTTTGCCTCTCATCCCAAATGTCTGCCCTGAGTTCACGTCCCTGATGGTGCCATCAGTTCTCCTGACTTGTAATCCAACCAGGAGATGAGTTGTCCTCTTGGCCTGGTCAGAAAGGTTCTGAAACTAAAATAGGAATTGAATTAAAAAGCAATATTTTCTGAAAAAACACACTCTTAAGCTTGATGTTCAACTGAGTTCAGCGAGCCCAGCCCCAGCCAGGCTGTGTAGGCAGAGATTAGGGAGAGGCTCAGCCCACATTCCAACTGGGAGATGATTCCTTGGAGCTGAAACCCTGTGAGTGTTGTGTCCTGTGTCTCTGGGACTCAGCTCCAAGGAATCAGAGCTTTGTGGTGCTGGAGGGACATGGCCTCATTCAGCTGCTCTTCCCTGTGGAAGGAAATCCGAGTTTGTGCTCCTGAGGCTTTTCCACCATCAGACACAGGGCAAAGTTCTCTGGGTTCCTCCCAAGTGGGTTTGCCCCAGAGGAGTGGCTGCTTTGTATCCTGGGGATGAGAAGCTGTTGTTGCTCAGGCTGAATTTGGCTGCACCCATCCCTTGGTCTGTGCAGGTGGGTCTGGTTTAGTCTGGGACCAAGCAAGGCCCTCCCAATCTAGAAAGGTAACAAAACCCACTCCCCCAGTACCCAAAATCTGTGGTGGCAGTGCTTCTCCTAGGACAAGGAGGAATCTTGTCCTGACAGAGGAGCTGGGGTGAGGTTTCCACTGCTCCTTCCCAGCAGGATTTGGAGCTGTTGGGTGCCCCCACTCCATAACAGTCCATATTTTAGAGTCCAGCCCGAGGTTTGAGGACTCTCTCTGGGTGTGAGGAGGAGCTTTGGGCTGGAAGGAAGGAGCAGGTTCCAAAGCTGCAGGGATGGAACACCCTGTACTATGCAGATAAAATATTAAGCCATTACCTGCTGTGGCAGATCCAGAAATGCACGTGAGACATATGAGTGTGGGCACATCCAGAACTGTCGCCCTGCGTTTCAGATTTGGGTGGCAGCCCCATTTATTCACAGATTTCCACTCATATTTACTCTCTATTTTCCTATTTACCTTTTTAGAGACACAACAGCTATTAATTTTTAATTCTAGTGGATCTAGTTGAGAGTATTAAGCTTAATGAAAAATTCAGAAGAATTGTAGTTCTTCCAACAGCTACATGTAGCAACTCCTACACAACAATAAATACTGCTTTGTCCCATGAATATAATTATTTTAAATAAAAAAGAAAAGAAACATTAGTTTGGACTCACTTAGTAGCAATTATATGTTTAAGAGGTGTAAATAACTTGCCATCCAGACATTACAAATATCCAGGTGCTCTGTATGTGCTGATGACAACAAAATTGAAAAGAAAGACTGTAATAATTCTGACTGGTTTTCTCTGCAGAAGATATTGATTATTTGTGTGTGGTGAGAGATTTGGAAAATTCAATTAAAGGAGTTGTGCAAAGGTTTCATAAATTTCCCGGGTACAGCGTGTACACAGACATTGCTGCCTATTAAATCAATGCAGCACTTCACAATATATTTTCTTTGAAACATAAAAATAAATAACATTTAAACAGTTCTGCTTACTACAGAAACAAATTTTATTTTCTGTGAAGCATTTAGTCATGTGCTATCACTGACTCATACACATTTGCCAGCTGTAACAAATTTTATAGACGTTTTCTCCAGAGACAGAGCTCATATACTATGAATTTTTAAATGAGCAAATGGTGAAGAAGGGATGTCAGCAATATAAAAATTGATCAGTTAAAAGATAAAAGCATAAGTAAAGAGATTTGTATGGTAGTCTTAATAGGTTTTATTAAATAAAAATACTATAAAAAGACAGTAATGAATAGACTGAAGGTTTTAACTGTGGTTGAGGTGGAGAAAAATTATTCTGGCACATTTAGTAGAAGATTGGTTTTATATCACCCGACAGGTGAACATTTTTTTTCTCTCTGCTTTTTAGATTTGTAAATGCTTTAGAGCAGTCAAACTTGGGGAAGAGTGGCAGGGGAACTAGGAGGGGGAAGGAAACTTGGGAAGATCCAGCCCTTTTAATGCTCCTGTGGGCCAGGAGGTGCCGTCTCCAAGGGCAGTGAGGGCTCTGCCAATCCTCCAGGAGCAGGGGTGGGGTGATTCCAGCTCCTGCCTTACCCTGGGAACCCTAAAATTGGAGCTGAGGAGAGGAACAAGCTGGGCCTGCACCATCCACCTCTTCTGCTGCAGCCCAGGTGCCTTCTGGCCCCCTCCACACATCCTTTTCCAGCTGCTCTGCTCACATCCATCCTCATCCAGGAGTTTTGTGTTCTCTTTGGTTTTATGTAGTTTAACTGACTCAGAAGCTCTGCATAGAAAGATATCAAGAGAGATAAGGGGTTGGGGGGGGGTTGTCTGTGTTGTTGGGGTTTTTAAGAACAGCTCACTCTGAGGTGAGGCAGAGTTAGATGGGATATTGGGAAGGAATTATTCCCTGTGAGGGTGGTGAGGCCCTGGCACAGGTTGCCCAGAGAAGCTGTGGCTGCCCCATCCCTGGAAGTGTTCCAGGCCAGGTTGGACGGGGCTTGGAGCAATCTGGGCTAGTGGAAGGTGTCCCTGCCCTTGGCAGGGAGTGGAACTGGATGGCCTTTGAGGTCCCTTCCAACCCAACCCATTCTGGGATTCTGTGTTTGAAAAAAAAGCTGAGTTCATGATGTTTTATGTGAATCTGGGCAGCTTGTATTTTTTAGGACAGCTCAGTGTGGTGGCTGTGGCATGTTTGGGTTCTCCACGTGCTGCACAGTCCAAATGCTGCAATCCATGATTGAAGGGAAATCAGTCCCATAAAGACTGAGTTAGGAATTGCATTTAGTACAAGTAAACCAGCTCATAATTCAATCTGTCATTTTTTTCTGTTCCTTGTCATACAAGACTGGACAGTTTCCTGTTGGAAGCAATTGTGGTGTGGTTTTGTTGATAATTTGTGTAAACAAGTGGTGGTTATCAGGAATAATGCTGGAAGTGGGACCTGAGGCCAGATTGGATTGGATGCCTTTTTTTGGAGTGTGAGACCTGGCTTAGGACAGAGCCTGGGCTTGGTCTGGGTGAGCTCCTGGTGACGTTGCCAGCACCTCAAATCCGATCCATGGGCAGGTCTTGGTGTTACATCATGTCCTGGAATTGTGTGGGGAGAACTGAGGAGAACCTTCCCCAGCACCCTGTGGTTGGGGGGTTTGGTGCCCCTCCCCAGCTGGGTTTCTGTTCACTGTAAGCTGCTCTGACACCTGTCTGTTCTTCTTGCTGTGTTTATTACAGCTCTGAATTCTCTCCTCACCCTCGGTGGTGGTGGAATCAAAGCTCCTCGTGACACTCGGGGTCCTGGGGGCAGAGCTGCTCATCTGCTGCAGGACCATTTGGCAGCCCTGGCACTCAGATGCACCTGCTTCCAGACCCTTTCCACGCATGTTCTCATTCCCTGAGTTCCTTTCTGCCCTTGCACTCTTCTCCTCTCCTTCTCCCAGCCACCTGCTCTGCCCTCATCCTGCCCTGCCCTCCTCGGCTGGGGGGCTCAGGTGCGGGGGCCTCCGGGGATGGTTGTTCCTCTCATGCAGTCCTTGGTTGGATTCTGCTGAATATGGTCCTGATGCATTTTTATTTATTTTTTTATTATTAATAGCAAAAAAGAAGCACCAGCTTCCAACACTTGTAGCACATTCTGTTCTGCTTTGTTAATGTAACACTTGCACATCCACTCACAAGGGCAAGCTCTGAAATTACTGCTGAGACCCCATAACTGAGATTCCAAGGAAAAGAGCTCCTGGGTTTTAACCACTGCAGCAACTTATTTAACTTGTACTGGGGAAGGATTGTCACAGATCCTGCCATAACACCCCTGTTTATCACACATCAGGTTTATATTTGTTTCCCCTCCTCAGGGTACTTCCAGACTGTTGGGAGCACTGAGTTCTTGAACTCACTCCTGGAACAAAGCAAGGAGCCACTGGGCCTGCTCCCTGCCTTCCCCAGCACCCAGGCACTGGCACAGAGACCAGGAATGTGACCAGGACACAGGTACTTGTTGTAAAGCATTTCCAGAGGGCTCTGGGATGTCCTGCAGGCACAGCTCAGGAGCCCAAGGGGATCAGTTTGTTCCTCCTTTGGCTCCTTCTCCTTGTGAGGGAAAAGCCCAGGTAGCGACAGACCTTGTCTGTCATCGTGTGTTACCTGAGCAGGAGAAAACTGGTTTCATGAAGTCTAAAGATGAGAATACCCACAGATTATCTCAATTCCTGAACAGTGTGAGAACATTTCTCTTTGGGAAGCTGAAGTCGTAGCTGAGGAGCAGGGAAGCGCTGTATGGCCATAGGGCAGGGCTGAGCTCACACACCTGCATTTGGCTTCTCAGTGAAGGTTCCGTTTTACTTTGTAATCAGCCATAAGTAACTGAGTAGCAAAAAGCCTTCTAAACCCTGCTTGGCCACAATCTAACATTACCCTACTGCTTCCTGGCTGCTTATGCCACACTTTTCTACTCCTTCCGAGCCAGTTCCCACTCCCAAGGCAGAGTCCTCAAGGGATGGCATCCCCAGCCCAGGAGAGCAGAGCCAGCATCCTCCTTTTTTCCATTCAGCATAATTCCTGAGTCCTGCAGATGCAGAGTGGCCTTTCCATGCTACAGTAACACGTTAAGTCTAACACTGGGTTATCAGCTTGTAGTAAAGTCATGCTGCCAACTCCAAGGTTTCAGTTCACAGCTGGCTCAAAGTACTCAGGTCTACTGTGAGTTTATGTCCATGGACAGCAGAGTGTAGTCAGTATTTGCATAAGGCTTTGCACCTCATGCCCAAAAAATGACAATTTCCTGGGACTTTTTATCCCTTCCATGAGTGACCAGCACTGTAGGGCCATTTCTTATTGCTTAAAAAAACACAATTGTGGCAGCTAAATGATCTTTTAGCAATTATTCCTCAACTTTTTCTACAGAATGTCCTTAAACCATCCTAAAATGTTCCTGCAGTCCAGGACAGACCAGCTGCTGCTCTGCATTGCGTGGGGTTGTGTGTGTGTGTTTCTCACACAGTGAGGTTTGTCCTGGACATCAGACAGCCCTGAGCCTCCAAACACATCCCCTGAGTGATGATGCTGTTGTCTAATTGCTATTTATTTTAGCCATTCCTCATCTCCCCACAGGCATTATGTGAAAAATGCATTCCACATCATCCCAAACTTCTACATCTGCTGGACTGGACTTAAAAGGAGCGAAGAACTGAGTGTAAACCAATCTCCCCCCAATCCCGGTGTGGGAGCATCGCTGGCCAGGCAGGTGCAGTCCCATAACATTCCTGGCGTCCATTTAAACTGAACAACATGCACAACCACATCATCCCAGTGGAAATAATCCACCATGCTGGGAGCTGGGGCTGCTGCTGCTGCCTGGGAAATAAACTGTAGGTTCTGCAGGTTCTTTTCTAACACGAGTTGGGCTCTAAAGCCGGAGGAAGCTTTGCAGTGCAAGGAATTATTCTGTGGTTCAGCTGTTGAGAAACGCTTTCCCTGTTGGTGCTGCCACACTTGGGGACGCTTGTCATCCACAACCAGGTTTCCTCTAAACTCAACCCAAGCCAAGGCCTCAGCTGCAAACCCAGCATTAACACACATGCTCTGGGAACATTTGCTTTTTAGGTCAACATTTCAGTTTAGTTTTGGTATTTAATGATGTAAGAGCAGAGTTGTTTTATATAAACAAGTTGCTTCTCTTTTTCCACCCCTCCAGCCTAGGGAATCCCCCACATCCCAAATCCTTGCATTAGGTTGGAAGAGTGCAGTACAATGATCTATACTTTCTTAAGTTCAACATAAACACCCACTTGAATGTCCTTTCTACTCCTGCAAAGTCCAGCTCCTCAAATAAACGGATTTTTACGACTAAAACTCAGAGCACTAAAATGATGAATGTGTTCCACATGCTCAAGCTTTTAGTTAATAAAAATATTTTTGCACCTCACTACCTGTGCAGTCCAACTGGGAAAAGTGTTAGTAACTGGTGGAAGGGAACTGGGACAGTTTTTCTCCCTTCCACACCAGTCTCTGTCAGGCTCTCAGAGCTGTGGGTTGTTGTTCTGTGTGTAAGGGGCACCAGCCCGTTGCTCTGTAGGAGGGGAGGATACTGAACCAGCGAGAGTTTATGTAACCTGACTGTAACCTCTGGAGCTGGAAATTAAATAATTATTGATCTGAGAAGAGCCTGGAACTGACTGTGCTGGTCTAAATCAAGCTGTTATGGGCAGTCTTGGGAGAACATAAAACTTGTACAGGAAATACCAGTGAAGGTGGTGATGGGCAGTGAGTTACAGCATAACTTACACCATGGCAATTACTAAATCTGGTATTTAGTCATTTTTTAGGGAAATAAAGCTGTACATGAAGACTGTGCTGCACATGCCCCCCTCACATGCCTCAGCTATTTAGGCAGTTACTGTGGCTCTGACCTCCTGCTGTACCAGCTCTTGCCTCTGAAACAGCTGGGGCTGTTAAGAACCATTTCCAGTTCCACACAAGGTGGATCGGGTGACTCTCACTTTATCACCCCCCGAGGCCACCTCAAGGACAAAGAAAAGGGATACACTCAAAACTAATGTTTGGCTATGGGGGGAAGGACAGGCCTGGGCTCCTGCTGGACACACAGACCAGGCTCATTAAACCCTGAACTGCTTCTGCTTCCCTCCACCTTCATTTTCCTTGTCACCTTAGAGACCTTCTCCAAGGCTGACAAACTTCAGGCAGCCTTTCCCCCAGCCCTGCTGGAGGGGAACATGGTGGTTTTGGGATTTCACAGCCTCTGGAGACAAAGATTCCTATTTTTGTGTCCTGATACACATCAATGCCAGCCGGCCTACACTTCCAAAAAGAAAGGCTGTGCTGTGAGTTACAGTCACCCCCACAGAAAATTCTAAATACTTGTGAAAATATTGAAGTTTGTTGCTTTGTAAGAATTTGCTGAACTGTGCTCACCCCTCATATCCTCAGAGTTACTACTCCAGAGCACCGTTTCCACTCTGTTGGAGCTGCCAGGAGCACAGTGTTGGCTCTGGGTACTTTTTCCACAACAAATAAGGCTGGAAAAACTGCATAAATACACTCAGCTCAGAGCCACTCCATTGACAGGGCTCATAACTGACACAGTTGGAAGTTCCCAGAACAGCTGATTCACACACTGACACTAATGGCAGTGACAGGCTGGAATGTGACAGCACAGCCAGGGCAGGGGGAAGCCTCTCAACAAGGATGGGGGGGCTTATTTTTAATATATATATATATAGATAGATAGATAGATAGATACAGAAGAAAAAGCATAGACTGACTTCTAATTAAACTATACAACCCTAAATGGCTTTATGATTTATTTTCTTCCTCCATGCTTTGTTATGTTTATAATTACTCAATCAATTTGCATTCTCTGAATTATTGGCAGTGGAGGCTGTGCTGCACCCAGGGAGAAATTGCAGAGTTGAGTTCAGTTTACATCTGCAAATTGCTGTGCAAGGAGGGGAGGTGTTTTGGGTTTTTTTTTCCCCCTCATACCTGGTTTCCAACTGCACTGCAGCACCTCAGCTTTTACTGCAGGAGAAACAAGAGGGTTTGGCTTTTCAGTCCTGTTGAAGAGAGAGCAGTTGAGTCCCAAGGCTGCAGAGGTGTTAAAACCACTTAAAGCAGAGCTGCTGACCAACAGTGAAGGAAGAAATGTCACAATGGAGGAAAGTTTGTGTCACAAAACAATTCAGCAACACCAATTCAGAGCTGCCAGTCCAGCGGTTTGACTTTACCTGCATGACTTCCTTATGCTTTTTATGCTGGGAAAGGAACAAACTCAATGCTACTTTTGCTAATACAGCAAATACGGGGTATTTTAGCATTAATTCAAAATTTGGTCCTTTATTAGGCATTTTAGGTTTACAAATGGTAACAAAAGTATGACACCTCTGAAGAAAACACACCAAATTGTATTTCCAATGCTCTTCAACAGACTTCTCCTTTGAAACAGTCTTTGACTGTTTTGTGTTTGAATAAGCCAAACATGTTTCCTGACTTTCCCTGGGTTCCAGCAGTTGTGTCCATCCCAAACAGGTTCCCCTGCAGCGCTGACAGCACTCACCAAACACACTCTGTCCTGCACAGTTCAGTCCTGGAGCTCCACAGGTAGATTAACTGATTTTCTTCTGGCTTTTGCTATTCTTGGAGTCCCAGAGTATCACAACATTAAAATACACCAGAAATAATAAGAAGTGTAAGCAGGAAACAATGGACACAGATACAGGGAATAAATCCGGGAGGCTCTGGGGAGGAGGCACTGCAGCACTCAGGAGAGACAGGACACCCATCAGGGACAGGGAAAGGAGGAACTGGAAGATAAGGAATGATGGATTAGGTGTTGGTAACACCTCAAACAGGTGAGCTGTTACTGCATTGTTTGGGTGCTCTGTTACAGCCCCCCCTCCACTGACATTTCTGTGCTGGGAGAAGCTGCAACTCAGAGTTACAGCAATTAAATTGCTTACCAGAGTCCTGACAATCCTGGGAAAGGACTTAAACCAAGACACATATCCCTTCAGGGAAAGGGAGAATGCTTTGAGCTGCAGGTCCTCTGCTGAGGTCTTGTCTAGGATGGAGAAGGAGGCCAGGCAGGTGGCCAGGAATGCCGGTGTGGTCACGGCGTAGGGCAGGAGCAGCCCGTCCCTCAGCAGGAGAGGCAACATGCTGGGAGCAGGATCATCCCAGTGTGAGGGCACGGAGCCAGAGGTGTTCCAAAGAATATGAAGAGAAGAGGAAAACCAATAAATACATTTATCCTTACAGGAATTGGGGAAGAACATGGTGTTCAGAGAATCATAGAATGGTTTGGGTTGGGAGGGACCTTAAAGCTCATCTCGTTCCACCCGCCTGCCACAGGCAGGGACACCTTCCACTATCCCAAGCTGCTTCAACCTGGCCTTGGACACTTCTCTGGGCAACCTGTGCCAGGGCCTAACCACCCTCATAGGGAAGAATTTCTCCCCAGTATCCCATCTAACCCAAGTGGGAAGCCATTCCCCCTTGTCCTGTCCCTCCATCCCTTGTCCAAACTCCCTCTCCAACCATGTTAATAGTTTCCAACTCACCTGAAAGTTGATACGAGTAAAAACCACGTGGCCATAAAGGGGATTTCATTTATGATTAAGCAAACTGGGCTAGAGTGAAAAGAGGAAAAACAGGGATCAGATCTTCCCTTGTCAAACACCCCTTCCAAGTCCACGTGGGACATGCACATGGAACAGCAGCACTGGTGACTGTTCCCTCAGCCAGAGTGACACAGGACAGACCAGCCAGGCTGTACTTCACACCTTCATTTCCAGGTTATTCAGAAAAGCAAATGTGCAGAGTGTTTAAAATTCAATATATTTGTAGGTTAAAGAGCAGCATGCAATAAGAGCTCGAGGAAAAGATCAAAATATATCCATAGGAATATAATTTACTTACACTGCCACCAGAAGAATGGATTTTTCATGGACTTGAAAGGAGAACAGGAAAAATGACAGGGCACAACTAACCTTAGGAAAGGAGATCAGAGCTGGATTAGTGTGTGTGACTGCAATGCAAAGCTCTGCTTTAGTGTCTCTGGCACAGACTCCACATGGAGGCAGGAGCTCAATGATCTGAGTTTTCTAATTAACTGCTATATTTCCTCCAGTGCCATTTACAGGCACCAGAGCAGCTCCTGGAACCACCCACACGTGCTGAAAACACTCGGTTTGAAAGTTGACCAGGATTAGTCTGAAAGCACTTCCTGCAGAGCCCTCACTCCTGCTCAGCTTCACCAAGAACATCTCCACCAAGGAAACACTATGTTCACCCACACAGGCACTGGAAAACCTCAATCATGGTAAAAATTGCCCACCTTTTTGATATAAAATTTTGCTCCTCATCGTGAACAGTTAATACACCGAAGTAAATAAACCGGTTTGGATTTTTTTTTGCTCCTACCAAATAATAAACACACTGCAAAACATCAGCTAAATCTTAGAAAGTGTAACTTCTAGGCAGTGTTGTGATATACTCTCAAACTTTGCTCACATAAATTAAAAACAGAAATTATCCTGTAACTCTCCAAACTTTAGAACCAGCTCCATATAATTTTTAATTTTTGCATAAGTCAGGGCAATGTGCTTCAATTCAATGCTACGACTAAGGAAAGGCAAACATTTGGGAAAATAGGATCATTTTATTTTCAAACCACTAATGAGCTCACAATGTCCATTTGGGGACTTTTTAATTGAATTTTGCAGCCGATGCAATAAGAAAAAATAACACTTTGGTAGCTAAACAAAAAGAGGAGAAATCCCAACTCTATACGAGGCTTTAATGTGTATGGAATCTTCTGAAGGCTCTTCGGAGGAAGATGATAAAATACAACATTAAATAAAGAAAATTGAGGCTAAAGTAAAAAGTCTGGGTTTAAAAGACAGGTCAGACTCCCTGGACACATGAAAATAAAGCTATTTTTAACCAATTCCTTCAGCATTTCATGGCACAGACCTCTCTGTGCTCTGCAGCAACTGCTGTTGGAGTGCTGCTGACACCCCTGTGCTGAGGGGTGGATGAAAACAAGGAGCAATTACAAACAAACACTTACCAAAGCAAATTTAAACCCTCTGAGGGAAGGCTGGACAGTGAGTTTGATACAGGCAGGAAGCAGGCTCAGGAATGTCACAGCAAAACTGGAGAGTTTTGTAAGAAAAACAGTTTAAATACATGAGCAACTACATCCATTAGTACTTCACTCTGTAGGCCTAGACCTGAATTCTTCACTTAGTTGAGAAACAGACCTGTGAGTTCTGATTTCTAAGAGCACTAAAAGGGGTAATTCTTTGAATTTGCAAATTTTAACTGTTTTAACCAGGCAGCTTAAATCACTATATAGACAAGCAGGGAATTTTTCAGTTCCTAACAACACTTGGGGAAACCCTCATCACTTGGGAGAAAAGTACAGCATAAGAAAGAAAATGTATTTTCAATATTTTAAATACAAGTTCTCATAGTTCCTTGAGAAAATTCACTCCTTTTGCAAAAATAATGCAGATAAAAACTACCTAAAGCACTTAAGTTATGTCTTACCTGAGTTTGAGCTGAGTTTGAGGTGATACTACATTCTTTATCTTTATAAGGACACTTAGACTGCACCAAATATTGGCTACTTTATCCTGGAAGAAAATAAAAAGGTAATTAGTGATAATTATATTCATTTAAACTTATGTTTGTGACAACAGTGGGGCTTGGGAGGTGGGGGTTGTTGGATTTCTACTATGAGAGTGCAAAAAACACTTGCAGATATACATCATGTTCTTAGATGTACTTGAGCTCATTCTGAATGGAAGTTTCAAGAGACTCAATTAAAACATGCTCTAAAATAACTGAGAAATTGTTCTCCAGCACAAGGGACAACTACTTAACTCATGAGACCACATATTCTGTGAGAATATGGCTCTGACACCGTGTCCCTGAGCAAACAAACACTGGCACATGGGAGTCCCTTTCCAGGAGGACACCGTGCTGGCCCATCTCATTCATGCCTGGCTGTAGCTGTGCTCGGTGCCCGCCAGCACTGACAGAGTTAACCCCTAATAAATCAAGGAGTCTAAAGACATTAGCAGTTGTGCTAGGATCACTTTCCAAATTAAATCTGTAAGCACAGCTCGTGAAACTCATCCCCAAGCAGCTGCTGGAGGCACAGCTGTGTGGACAGAACACCACGGAGGCACCAGCACCAACAACTGAGCCACCTCCCTCACGTGCTCGCCAGCAACACGGGATATGCCGAGGATTCCGAGGGGACACGGGGTTTGGCAGCACCAGCAAACACCACTTCACAGCCAGCACCATCCTACAGCCTCAGCAAGTGTTACTGGGCTGCAAAGGGACACAAGTCAAAGAACCTGTCACACACGCCCCGGGCTGAGTTACTGGGCAGTGCTTACGTGGACAATTTCTCATTTTATCCGCATTAGCATCCAGCAAGTCACTGCCCTGAGCAGCCCAGGAAATATCTGGGCTAATATTAGACTAAAATCCTTCAGCTCTTTCAGACTCATTGGTTATTGTCATTTACAGATTGTATTTTTAAACTTGGTACTGAATAAAAAGTGCGGTGACCCAAACTATTTCTTCATAAATTCCAAATAATCTCCAAGAAAAAGGGTCATTTTTTGGGGGAGAGGGAGGTGTCTGTGTGAGGAGGGGTCTTTTTTGGAGAGGTTGTTTGGTGTTTGTTTGTTGGGGTTTTTAAATAAACTAGCAGAGAGCACATTAAGAACACTTCTGTACATCAACATTAACTTCTGAAGAAAAACGTGCCAGCTGTGATATTATCTACATCTGAGAAAGACTGGAATAATAATAAACATGAATTAAACTACATAAGTATTTGCTTTAATCCCTGTGACAACACAACCTGAAATTCAAAGCTTCATTTTATTGGTTAAGCTTGAAGGTGAGAATCTGCTGTATAAGAGTGTAATACTGACTCGTGCCCTAATTAAGCAAAAGAGCAGCAACAACTCCCTGGGAGTTGGGAAATGGAAACCCTTTCTTTCATCCCAAAACTCCTGTGGCATTGCCACTAGATAAAGGAGGAATTGCTTTACTGGATTAAGGCTGCAGTAGTACTCAGCACTTGCCAGTGTGCAATTGTCCATAGCCTTAGGAAAAGCAGCACTGGCCTAAAACTTTTGGAAAACATTGTGGAAATTGGCACAAGGTGGGTCAAAAAGGAAGTTCTGGGCTGTACCCACAAAATTGTTTTAAATTCTTTTTTTAAATACTTAATCCCACTGAAAAGAGCTGAGAAGAACGAAAGGCTGAAGCTGTTCACTTTCAAGGTTACATCTTCTGACACTGTCAATTACTATGGAATCTATTTCAATGGAAAAATGTATGGATTGAAGTATGGGTCTGATGATGGGATAAGTGTTGTCTACTGGTATAATATCCTGGAAGATGCCAGCTGAGCTGGGGTTAAACACTGGATTAAATAACTGGCAAGGACTGCCTGCTGAAGAAGCCTCTCGAATTACCCGTCCCGTGGTGTGTCTCCCCCATGAAATCCCTAAAGGTCACACTGAAGGTTTCTCAAGGGATCTAAGAATACAGGGCAGGGGCAGTGGGGTGGGGAGAAGAAAACATGCATGCCTCAAACAAGCCTCTGTCAATGGGAAAGAGTCTTCTGAGTACTTGCATGATTTGTTCCACGTCGGTGCCGAACGGGAGCCAGCAGGCAGCGAAGGACAGCACCACTGTCCCTGCCAGTTTGGTCAACAGCACCAACCTGGGCCCAAGAGAAGAAAAAAGCTCTCACTTCAAGAAAAGCGACCCAGCAGAAATACCTGCCTGAGGTATCAGCAGCAAATACTCATTTTGCAGGAGAGGAAGATGTTACAAAAGTATCTTCCACTAGAGCTGAATTCAGAAATGCCCACATGCAGATTAGGAGAATCCCACTCTCCATGCCAGGCTGCCCAGGCGTATTCCTGAGAAAGATAAAACAGTTTAAAGCCACTTACCCCTTTCCTTTCAGTCCCTTCTTGAAGCACTTCCCCAGTAAATAGCAGAAAAAGGGCAGGGAATGGTAGAGCTCCATTTGCTTGTAGTTTAAGGCCAAGCAAAAGGCCACCGAGCCCAGGAGGTCCCAGTCATGGGACAAACAAAGGACACCCCACAAGGCAAAGCCGAGGCTCACTGAGTTGTATATGGTTTTTTATGTCAAGGACAAGACATACATCTCAGTTCTGCAAGTCAGTAATTAATGCCCTGAGGGACAGGCATAAATAGCTTGGAAAATTAGTTTTTCCAAGTTAGTTTTAAAAACACATTACCAGTTGTGACTATTTCGTTCACAGAGAGAAATAATTTTACTTCCGTTTAAAATGTAATTTTTGTATTTCTAAGGCTTGATTCAGAGCTTACAAAAGCAAATATGAGGACAAATTATGTGTGTGTTAATTACATATATAAAGTATATTCAGCCAACCAAGCTTTTGGTGACAGTACTATACAACATGCATCAGGGGAAACTTTCTTTCTGTATTTACATAATTAAGGATAGAACTTTCACAAGCTTCTCCTCCCAGCTCACAAAAGATATGTGCAGAATATTCAAATATATCAGGGTTTAAATTATATATCATTTAGTTCAAGGACTTCTGAGGTTCTTGTGATTCTATTACACTCACAGTGCACCCTCATCCATGACCAGTTCTCTTAACTGCTAATACTGCACAAACAATGAATAATAGTTACTAAAAGCAATGTTGCTGCCTTATGACTTTGAGAACAGGTTCACAAGATCAGTAAATTTGGAATAGACTAAGCTAGGCTCACTATTAAATTTTAACAAAATATTAGCTTTGTCTTTTACTTGGCGTTCTTAAAAAAATGAGATAAACCAATAGGGCACAGAATCCCAGAATGGGTTGGTTTGGGAGGGACTTTGAAGCTCATCTTGTTCCACCCCCTGCCATGGGCAGGGACATCTTCCACTAGCCCAGGTTGCTCCAAGCCCCATCCAACCTGGCCTTGGACAATTCCAGGGATGGGGCAGCCACAGCTTCTCTGGGCAACCTGTGCCAGGGCCTCAACCCCTCACAGGGAAGGATTTCTGCCTAATGTCTAATGTAACCCTGCCCTCTGGCATTGGGAAGCCATTCCCCTTGTCCTGTCACTCCAGGCCTTTGTAAACAGTCCCTTCCATTTCTTGTATTGTCAGAAATGTCACAATACTTGGTTTCCCTCTGTCAGTGTAGGTATCTGTAGGACACATCCAGATGGCCCACGTTGCTTTCAGCCCACTCCCACTTCCCACTCCCAATCCCCAGGTGTATTTGACAGCTTATTGATTTCCCATCAGCAAACTCCCACCAAAAGGCCCTGATCTTGCAGCAGTTCAGGTTAAGCAAATCTTTGACTTCCTGGGAGCAGGGCCCTGGGAGTGATGCTGTTCATGTAAGAGTGGCAGGGCTGGACCAGCCCCCAGAGGCTCTGCAGGACATCTCTGCTTCCATTGCATCCCCCCAACATGAGGTCAGCTGACAGCATTTGCTTGTTCATGTACAAACCCAGTACAAAACTAGAATTCTTATTAAAACAGACCCCCTGTGAAGGTGTCTGCACCAACAGGGACCAGTCAGCCCTGGATTCACTTCACTTCACTGTGAAGCCAGGACAGAACAGCACATTTTATAGAACTGAACATTTCCCACAGCTACTCCTGACACTCCTCTGCCATCCAAGCAGATCGGAGGTGATTCCCTCTCCAAACACAAATCACAGGAGCACAAGCCATCATTCTCTTCCCTGTCACAGCACCACTGGTGTTGTCTGCAATAAAGTGACTGACAGAAATACGAGCTGGAGGCACAGAAAAAATTATATTCATGTTCGGATTGATTTGTCCCAATATCAATAATTTTTATCTCAAATATGTCTCAGACTTACAGTTTCTTTGATATCTCTGCTTTGGGGTGGCAGAAGCCCCTCAGATGACTTTGTATGCAAAAATAACCTTGTGCCCAGCCAAAAAAAAAGTGCTAAAAACAATGTTACTCCATAAACACAAATTCATCTCAGTGCAGAACAAGGATACTGGAAGTGTCCATGGTCAATAAGAATGAGGCCTGGATAAAGCAGGATACAGAGAGCACTGGAAACCTGGAAAGAAGGATCAAAAAAAGAGAGGGGACAAATGATTATTCCCAAATTAGACATCAGACAGAGGAACTTACACCTCTCCAGTACAAAAATATGCCCCTCCTTGGTGCACCCTATATGTAGGAATCTTATTCTCTACAAGTAATCATCTGTCAGTAACAATTTGAGGAATAAAAGAGGATAAAAATTTTCCATAAATGAGAAAATATTGAATATTGCCTGTCCTTTGCAAACAGCTCAAAGATCACCCACACCCATCTTAAACCTTAAATCACTCCAAAAAAGTGGAGACTTATTATTCCAAAATGTATTGAATCTACTGTGAGGAGTGTTCAAGAAAAAGCAGTTCTCAGATGCCCCTGTGCCATGCCATAATCTTGCTTTTACTACTCAAGTAACAAATTCAGAAAAAAATATAATTCAGGAGTTCACGGCTCCTAAACTTCAGAGCATCTTGTTATTGAAAGCATTAAAATAATTGTTGTAAGATAAAATAATGGCTTTTTTAATCTTTTTAACCTGAAAAGCCTTTAATATGAGCTACACTGATTGTCAGCTTTACATGGGTGCTTTGGATGTTAATTAACTCAGTGTTACAGTTCTACCCTGTTCTAACAGTGTTTTCTTTGTTCAATTTACACACACACACACCAGGTACTTGCCTTCTTTTTAGCAGATGTTTCTTTCAAGGAAGAACAATATAAAATAACTGCAGGAATATAAACCAGCAAATCAGCAACAAACACTGCAAAATAAAGATTAACTTTACATTAGAATCCTCCCAGGAGAAGACAAGGACAACATACAGACAAGTGAGCATTAAAATGTCAGAAAGTTCTTCATCAGAATAAACTGGGCAGTTCCACTTCAAAGGACAAAAAGAAACAGGTCCACAGAATTCGATCTTGTTAATGTGTGTAAGGCTCATTTCTGATGTCCCAAAGCTGCTGCTTCCACGTGTTCAGCTGTCCTGGCTCCTGGCACAGCCTCAGTCACACAGGGAGCACACTCTAGTTCCTCACATGCCAAAACCAGGGAGGCATTTGGGAATGCCCCAAAGAAATCGGCTCTGACTGGATCCAGGCAGGTTCTTTGATGGGACAGATACTCTGGGGGCACAACTAAGAAGCTCCAGATTGTAACAATCTCTGTGTGAATTAGTGATGTGGGTAAAGAGACTAAAACTAGTGATTTGGCTTTGATAACCTGCCTACAGCAAGTATTTGTAAGAGAGTTGACAAGAAAACAGAACCAGCAGGTTCCCCTGCCTGGGATTATGCCAAGCAGGTGAATTCTCCTTGAGCCTGAGAAAAACCTCAGATCATTTTTAAAAACCAGTTTCATAAAATGTGCAATGGTTCCAAAAGGGAAAGTGTACTTTGCCTCTTTTTAGCCAAGGTCTTTGGAAGAAAATGTTCCAATATCTCAGTTACTCAGTGATGAATTGTTTTGCCAGCTTAAGCCACAACTAAACAAATATACCCAAGGTGTTAGCAAAACAAATACACTGATGCTTCAAATAAAGCTGACATTGACCACTCTGAATTATTTTAATGCATTCTTCTAATGGCTACTGTTAAACAGTGTTTATCAGCTCTCTAGATCCATCAGTGGTTTGTCAAGTGAGTTGATTTCAAAATTAATAAAGACCATTTCAAGGGTAATTAAGTTCTAGTGATTTTTATTTTTTTTCAATTCAATCAATTACCAGAGACCAGACTGAGAGGTTTGTGAAGTACAGAAAAGCTATTGATGAACAACAAATTCTGCTGTTGCAATCAGAAAGCATTTTGTGGAACTTGAGTGTTAGAGAAAGCAACACAGACTTAAAATGAAGGAAAATAGAAACAGGATAAGAAGAGTTCATTGGAGACATTGTTTGCTGTTTTCCTGATACAGTTACCAAATCAAGTTATCGACACATTTTCTCTGTACTTGTTTCATCATTTTCTTTGTAGTGGCAGTTCAACATAATCAAAGAGTCAGAAGAGTGACTGCAGGAAAATGAAATTCAGAATAGATGTGGTAAAATAAATTTTTACTTTTTTGTTAACAGTAATAATATCAAATCTCTTTCCCTTTGAGATCAAGTACCCGCTCATAATAAAGATCTCTGAGACCTCAACTGGCTGTTAAGTCAGTGAATGCCAGTCTACATGTAAATTAATTTTAATATAAAAACCAAATTCAGCTAAAAATGAAAAGACTGTTTATCAGAATGGAAGGGAAAATAAGAATATTATTTTCAAAATTAAAAAATGAGTCTATGCTACAAAAAGTAGTTTTGTTTCAGAGTTTTTAATGAATCGGTTGGGTTGGAAACTTGTTTGTGTATTTTGTATTTATCACTATGGCAGAAGAGGAAAGAACACAGGACTTTGGTTCATAAATGGACCTGCAAAACCACCTGAGTTAAAGAACTGAGAATAAACCAGAAAAAACAGAGAAGCTGCATATTAAACGTGTTAAATGAGTGAGACAAATGTGCAGGACCATCCCAAGGAATGTGATTTCCCTACCTGTTGTCCGCATAAACAGCTTGTGTGGCTGACTCTCGTAGCCCCGGGAGCTGTGCAGGGCAACCCAGTCAGGATTTATTAACTTGGCACTGGAAAACAAAGTACAGACACATCAAAATGCAGACAGTTCTCATTTCCCTTTACACTCCTCTCAGCAATAAAGATGACACGCACAGGAGCATATTCCAAGAGTTAAGATGGATGAGAAGAAATATTTCAAAGAGCAATTGTGATCAATGAGAGATTTTCCTCACCCCCAGATCAGTTTACACTATAAACCATTTCACAATTAAAAAAACCTAATCTTTGGAAACAGTAAAAAGGGAGTACAATATTTATTAGAATAAGATAACCACCTTCAGTCTAGTTCCACTGACTTTTATAAAAACAATTGTAAATACCTTTCATACTTAAGTATTAAATATAAACCATTTACAGTTCACATAGATGCCCCACATAACTCTGCCTGTGCACTTTAACCTACATTCTTATTCCATAAGTCTCATTCCAATGGCAGTAAAGCCCTTGTGGAAAAAGTATTCCAATAACAGAATTCTATTTACATGATATCCAGTCATCAAATGACACTGGGGCTCTCCACACACGAGAGCTTTCCCAAGCAATGCACCAATTCCTACAGCACTTTTTCCCTGGGCATCACTGATCCAACAGTGGAAAGCTGAATATCCAAGCCACATCTAAAGCTGCTAAAATTTACAGACCTGGCAAAAAGGAGAATGTAACACAGAAGTATTTGAAATCCTGAACTTACATGTAAGCACACACAAAACTGTGATAGGCTGTGAGAGGTGGATAATCAAGGCCCCAGTACAGGAGGTTGTTATCACTTGTGTTGAAGTACCTAGAAAAAATAAAATTAAATTTAAATAAGTATCTACATTTGGCCCAAGGAAAAGGCTGAATGCTAAATGTATTCAAAATCTAAAATAGAAGGTAGCAACTTGTGTATCTGTTTAATTTTACTGCAAATAAAGAAAATCTCAAGCAACGAAGTAACAGCAACAGTGATTCTGAGTTCACATATTTGTGGCTGCAGAACAGGTTTAGAAAAGCTGCTAAAGTTCACTTATCTGGAGAGGGAAAATCCTAGTTCTCCCTCAGAACTCAGGTGGACCATGTGCAAGAAAGGAAAAGGATTTTCCCATTTGTGATTCCATTGTGTCAGTATTTCTATGGAAGGCTGGCAGCAGTTCAAATTGTCACCTCTTCCAAGTGAGAAACAGAGGGTTTTGTCCAAGGAAAAGTTACAACAATAAGGCATCAAACCCTTTTTATGTCCCAGTGAAACACTGACTACTCTACTCCAGCTGCCATGGGGCAAGCTCTTGGCTTTTCCAGTTTCTCTCTTCAAATGCAGCCAGTTTTTGACATTTATTATAGTAAATGATATTTCTTGAATTCTTTATGAGCTGCCTGAAGTGTCTTATGAACTGATGATAAATCACATTTCTTTGAGTTGCATCTCTGCTTCTCATCCTACAATTCAAGACCGCTCATGCCAAGGCAGCGCGGATTCTTCACACAGAATGTAACAGTTTGCAACTGTTAGTGAACTTAACAGTTTGGGGAGTTTATTTTTTTAATTTTACCTTACATAAACTCACAGCTTCAATAAAAAACCCAACCCCCACATCCAGTAATATTTATCAAGAAAGCCTTCAGAGTTTTAATTAGCAGTAGGATAAGAATGTTCTTAAAGCAGCCTTTAATAAATAATGTCAAGACTCTAAAGAACAACATAAATAAGAATTATTTAAGTTCTAGAATGTAATCCCTTGCATAGATGTGCTTTTCCCAATGCCCAAGGCTGAATATGACTTTGCTGTATTAGAGACTGAATTCCCAGAGCAGACCCAATCCAAAAAAACCCAAACTTCCATTATAAATATAAAATTACATAAATTATAAAAACAGAGAGCAAATACACCAGGACCAAGATGCCCACCTGGCAGCCCATCAGCTAAACCCAGCCTGCAACAGTTTCATCTGGCCCCTGGGAATGCCTGGAAAAAATGGCTGCTATAACTCTTAATTTTAAGTAGATATAGTTCAGTGTAGCAGAGTGGATCAAAGCTGCCAACTCTATTATTATGGAATATCCCTTATCCCGGGTTTGGAAATGATAATACAGATACAACAGGATGATCTGAGGTCACTACACAGAGCCACCTGCAGACATTTACAGAAATACAATTGAATTAATATCCTATTCTGTCATATCAGTGTGTTCCCCAACAGCTGAGGAAAAATTACACCAGACAAACACCACCACTGTCCCTGCTGGAAGATGACCTGGAATTCCAATATATTCCAGTTTGTGTTGTATCATATATATGGACTAAATAATTTTTAGTTCCATGCATGATCTAAGGAATAATAGCAATAATGTAAAAAGAAATAAAATATTTGGAATAATTTTCCTTCTCTTTTAAGTGATCTGTACAAATTAAGGTCGCTATCCTTACATCTACAGTCCAGGCACTCACATCTAAAAATCTAACAGGAACATGGGTGGGAACAAAGGACTCAGAGGTGTAAAACACAACCAAAATTTCAGTACATTCACCCTTTGTAAGCTGAGCTCCACCAGCACCACCTACCACTGCCTGATGGGTAAATTGTAAGTTATTTCTTGCCAGTGCCTCTGAGCTTCATAGTCTCCATACATAGGTGGTTTTCCTGCACCTACAAAAATAGGACAAAGCAGTCAGGAATTATTTGGTTTATACAGATTGCTTTCCCTCAGTTATGTATTGCATATTAATATACTACTGATTTTATTCTCCATTCCTCTGTGGTATTATAGAGCAAACAGACACTGCTATGCAGTCTCACAGGGAGGACAAAAAAGTTATGTGTTCTTTTGGCATTCTGGATATTTCTGCAATAAGCATTTATCAAGGCACTGTGCAGTGAAGAACTGCTTCCTCATCTGACAAAAAAAATCATTTCCAAGTGTAGATGAAAAATGGGGCACTTTCACCGATTTTGTGTGAACCACTGCACTTCCTTAGTACATGATAACTGTCCATGTTCTCACCTGTGTTCCAGCCACGTCGTGGTACCTCGCTATTAAAATCAACAACCAGCCTTTTTTCATGAAAAAATAAGCTTTATCAATGCAAACACTTCAGTGTCTACTCAAATAATTCCCTCAATGGAAGGTTAACTCTGATACTGGCAGCATGTTAAGCACCTTCACAGTTTATTTACTTCTATTAACCTGCTTATTGAGAACAGAGACTGGACTGATTGTACTCCCAGTGAAATATTGACATGAGCCAGACAGAGATTTAAGGGTTTCTTTAAAACACAGGAAAGCCATCTATATTTCTTCACATGATCTATGTTTGTGGGAGTCCCACAAGCTCAGATATGTACTATTTATTCCCAGAAAGTCGAAAGGACATATTATCTCTGCTAATTTATTCCTGGGTGGTAGAGAGAGTAGATTATCTCCACTATATGACACATTCAACCTAAAGTTTCCTAAATAAGTGAGGTCACTGGGGAACAGGAGTTTTATCAGTGTCAGTTCTGGAGCTATAAATCTAGTGGAACATAGAATCTGCCACAGGATTACTGAAATTCAAGATTTTAATCCAAAGTTTCATTATAAAAAGCCAAATACAGACTGGTCAGTTAATTTAAGAATGCATATTTAGCTTCCATCTATAGCAAGCACGGAGTACACAGACAAAGTGGGTTAAAAATTAATAAAAATGCAGTATTTTATTTTAAAAGGGTTGTTCCTTTTCCTATTCCAAAAGGAGTTACATGATCATTGTGTAGAAAATCAGATTAAAAAAATGTTATTTTAGTTTAAGTATTATTTTAGACTATTTTTCAAAGTCTTGATTGATTTGAAATTAAATCAAGTTTTAAAAATCCTGTTAGCAGTGGAATTGTAAATATTTGCAGTGCAAGAGAAACTCAGTGTTGTGTGGCAAAAGATAGGGTGTTTTCTGCCTAGAGATGGGTAACAGAGCCTCAGTTACACACAGATCTCTCAGAGTGGCATTTTCAGAAAGCAAACTCAAACCAAAACAACCGGGCAGGCAACTCAGGTTCAAGCAAATTCCTTCACTTGAATGAAGCCCAGGAGTTACCAGTTCAATCACCAGAATCCTCCTGAACAGCTCCAACCACTCAGGGGATGAGGCTCCAACTGACTCAACAGAAAACCAGAGCTGGATTAAACTGAGCTTGTGATACTTTCAACTGATGAAGGTTGAAAATAATGGTTCGTTGTTTTTTTTTTTCCTCAGTTTGCAGAGAGCAAGCTTAGAGCAAGCTTATGCTAAATGGGAATGGCATTGAGAGGCTTGGAAAGAAACTTGCTAATTCTTTGCAAGTGTTCTGACACGGGGAGGAGAAAAACTCATCCATTAACAGGATACAGCTGTAGCTCAGGCTGTAAACAAGCTCAAGGAAGCACAGCTCCAAGGCAGAGTAATCCCTCACTCCACGTCACCTTTACACTGTCTTCATTAGCACTACTGTAGTTTTAAAACCATAATTTATATTTAGCTGTCTGATATCGAATTTAAAGGACAATAGTAAACAAATCTACAGTTGGACTGCAATATTCTGCACATAAAGGCACAGGGGAGAACAGCCAGATGTTCAACCTAAAACATTACTGGCCACCACCACCCCTCAAAAAAAAAAGTTGTGGTGTTTTTTCCCCAGTGTTTTGTTCCAAGCAGCTGTGATGTTAATCGTTGCACACTTCAAAAAACAAGAACAAGAAATTCTGAGGGAAATCAAGAGACACTAAAATACAATAATACTTGAAATAACACATTATTTCCTATTTATGATTTTACATAAATAAAAAGTTTATTTTAATTTACCACAAGGTCCATAATTCAGCCTGTGAACGTGCATTACCTGAGTAGGAGCCCAGTGACACAGCCCAGCGCACAGTAAGTGCCAGTAACACAGTAATTGTCATTAAGCTCCACTTCTCCATGGCTGGCCTTTGTAACAAGCCAAAAGGGACCTGAAAAAAGACCACAAACATTGCTACAATACCATCCATGGGGTTGTTCCCTAGGGATTACTGCTAGTCCTGGTCAAGGCCACCTAGTTTCTCAGTTAAGAGCACCACTGCCAAATTAGGCAGAGTGTAGATCTGGAATAGGCATCACTGCTGATTTAAAGGTATTACAAGTTATTTAAATGAGGGATGATCTCCTAGCAAACTTACTTGACCACACTAAGGATGGAGTAACAATAAGAAACATTGCCAAATCTGTAAAAATTAAAAGTCACGTGCATCAAACTCAGAAAGCAAAAAAACAGGAAAATAATTACGTTGCCCTATGTAAAAAGAAAAAAAAAACAAAACAAAACAAGCCACTAACTAACTATAGAATATGCAAACTTTGACCCAAAGAAACAAAAATATTTTAGTCTGAATTAGAAGAAAAGTGAGGAAGAAACTAGTCCAGCCTTGATAGTGAGAGATGGGATGAGCCTGCGTACAACTGGCACAGATTTTCCTTGCAGGAAAGGTATCATTTGACTTAAGAGACTTGTTCATGAGCAAAAAAAAAAAAAAAAGGGCAACAACAACAAAACCACACAAAAAAACCAAAACAAAAAGCCAACCTCCTCACAGCACCAGTACTAAGCTGCTGTTTTAGTAACAGACAAGCAACATCCAAGGCATATTTAGATGATTCTGCTCAAACTATATCCATATTTATTTCCTATTCACAGAAAGCTGTGACCCAGCACCACCAAGGGAAAAGTTAATTAATAATATAAATCTGTGGCAGCAGTAGATCACCATCTATCCATAGAAGGGTGAACACTGACATTTGCATGTTTTCAATGTGCCTAAACCACAGGGGAGGCACTTTTATCTAAATAAAAGATAATGGGGTCGACTCTGTAGATCCTTTCACTCTAAGTGGACCCTTGTGCTTCCTAAATTTGGGTCTAATAGACCCAGGGTCCTATAAGAATTCCAAAATCAAGAATCACAAGCCCGGTCCTTCCCTTCTATAAAATACATCTGCCCTTCCCTTCCAGCTCATCAAAACATTTATTAATTAATTACACCTTTTTAATTTCTACATAACATCTACAGACTCCCCCATCTCTGTTCCTCTCATTTACTTCTGCCATTCCCTACTTTTGGAATAACTGTTGTTTTTCTGAGATACTGAATTTCTTTCTCTCCCCTCAAAAGTGGTTCTTGCAATAATTCTTTCCTACTTATTTTTCGGCTTTAATAATTGTCCCATACCTCCTGAAACAAAAAGCCACGCTTTTATTAGAATCTAGAGCACAAATCTCTAGTTTCTGCTATCCTGTGAGTAACAATATTAAACAAGGAAGAGGTTTCAGGGGATGATAAAGTTGGTTTGGTCAGTCCCAAACTTTTCACCTTCTGCCTCTGCACGTGCGACACTGAGGGTCTCTAGAGTGAGATGCCACCTGGAAGCATATGGTGAAAATCACTCAAAAATCCCACTATCCTTCCGCACTGCCCACGACGAAGACAAATAACACCAACACAAACCACCCACTCCTGGCCACCGGGACGCTGACAGAACTCAGCCAGCGATGCACATCCCTTAATACAACTTGCTTTAAATCACCACACATCTCAGCAGCGCCTTTCCCTCCTCAGAAATGCGAACGCTGAATGAAGAACTTAATCTGTTGCAGCAACACCCGTCTGTGATCCTGCTGTTCCACTCACCCTGGTCAGGAAGTGCTTTTACTCCTCACAGTCCCTCATCCCCCTCACAACTCACTCACCCCGCTCTCAGATCTCACTCACACACTTCACACCCCCCGGCCTCCTCAGAGACCCCCAGGATAAGCTGTCGCTGAGGGACTCACGCCCAGGGCTCCTTGCGAGTCCGCCCGAGCTGCTCCCACCCACCAGCGGACCCTCTTCCCCTCAGCCTCCAGCCCCCTTCACCCCTCAGCCTCCAGCCCCCTTCACCCTTCAGCCTCCAGCCCCCTTCACTCCTCAGCCCCCGCAGTCCCTTCACCCCTCAGCCCCCCTCGCCTCCCTCAGCGCCCTCACGCCCCTCAGCCACCTCAACCGTCCCAGCCCTGTGAGCCGCCCTCGCCTCCCTGAGCCCCGCTCACCGCTCAGCTCAGCCGCTCCGGTCCCGTCCGTTCCCGCCCTCGCTCCCTCACCGGCTCGGCCGCCACGCTCGCTTCCGCCTGTGAGGCGCCTTCCGGGCGGGCTGTGCGCATGCGCGGGGCGGGAGCCTGGGAATCCTTCATGGATTCACGGGGAGATGGAGAACTTGAACTCTGGGAGAGCTGGGGGTGTTCCCCTGGAGAGGAGAAGGCTCTGGGGAGACCTTAGAGCCCTTTCCAGTGCCTAAAGGGGCTCCAGGAGAGCTGGAGAGGGACTTTGGACAAGGGCCTGGAGGGACAGGACAAGGGGGAATGGCTTCCCACTGCCGGAGGGCAGGGTTAGGTGGGATATTGGGAAGGAATTCTTGGCTGTGGGGGTGGTGAGGAGCTGGGATGGAGTTGCCAGAGAAGCTGTGGCTGCCCCATTCCTGGAAGTGTCCAAGGCCAGGTTGGACGGGACTTGGAGCAACCTGGGATGGTGGAAGGTGTCCCTGCCCATGGCACGGGGTGGGACTGGATGAGCTTTAAGGTCCCTTCCAACCCAAACCATGATTCCATGGCACATGTAGTGCTCATATCTCCACGGCAGCAGTTCAGGGAAGTGGGAGGATGCACTAATGAGCATTGCTGATGAAAAGCACAGTCCTGGCACACGGGAAGACCAGCTTTTTGTTCAGGCAATGAATCCCAGTGTGGGTTCTTTTTCACAGAAGGAAGGGAGCAGCTGGAAGACTTGTTCTTAAACGCACCAGGTCACTGGGAAGAAGCTCCTCATCTCATCCCACCCCCTGCCATGGGCAGGGACACCTTCCTCTAGACCAGGTTGCTCCAAGTCCTGTCCAACCTGGCCTTTCCTTCTGGCTGTGTGTAACTGAAACTGAATAGAAAACTCATTCTTTTTAAAACTAACACCACATACTGAGGTTTTCATGTCCAGACCTTCCACATGAGCTGCCAGCAGTGCTCTCCTTGAACTGTAATCCCAGGACTGAAAGTTGTGATGGGTTTAAACACAACTGCTACCAAATGAAAATGTGGTCAAGAAGTGTCTGATTACTTGTAAATGAAATGTTAAGGTAACCAGAGATTATAGGAAACAAAATGATAATTTTTTTTTAGAAGCACATATTGTTTTTAAAATAAATAAGCACTATGAATATAGTATTCCATAACACCAGAGATGGGTTTTCTTTCTTTATGTTCTTCCAGTGCAATAACATCTAGAATACTAATTTCCACTATTGCAACCATTTTCGAGTGTAAATTGCTTGGACATCCTGGTCCCTCCGACACCTGCCATAATTTCTGTCACTTGTGGTGTTACCTCAGGTGAGATAGCGTGAAGAGACTGAAAGTCTGAGGTCTTAAACTGATAAAGGCAAAAATCACATCTGTCTGCTGTTTTACCAAGGTGTTTGGAGCCATAATCCTGTGGAAAATGGCAGATTATGCCCATCAAATTTTACACAGTTTATTTAATCTGTTGTACTCCATCACTTACACTGCTGCTAAGTAAAATGCTTCTATTGCAGGATATTGGTAGGATTTTAAGGGTTGTCTGGAGATCACAACTCTGTAAAATAAGCATAATCCTAAAAACTCATCAACTACGAAGTAACTTGGAATACAGAGTTACACGTCCCGAACCCACTGCGGCTGGAGCTGGTTTATGACACTGAAAACACACAATGCCAAGTGAATTCCCAGCCTAAACCCGGCGAAGAATCACCAGGGCAGATTCCTATTTCAGTCCTCCTCTCTCAGCCCCCTCTCCTTTCCTTCTGCTCTTCCCTCCAGGATTTTCCCTGCCCGGAATTGCCCAAATGGCGAGGCCGGGGAGCACCGCAGCGCTCAGCCACCGTCCGTGATCGTTGCCTATGGGCTCCTACCGCAAAAAAAAGGAAGAAGTTTTTCTGTTTTATCTTGCAGGTTATTCCTAATTAGTTTCTGGAGCTGGAATGGGCGAGCAGGAGCCCATGGCCGCACATTCAAGTGCATTATTTCAATTAGCTGAGCGCTCTTTGTTGCAAGGTGAAATCATTCACTCCCCGGGAAAGCTTTTTTATTGAATGCTTTCTAAATACTTGCATTGGGCGCGTCGCCTGGAATTGAGTCTCTGTCACTAGTGTTTCTGCGGTGACTTTGACCAGATCAATGACTGGAAAAGGCATTAAGGACACATTGATACCGCGGGGTAGGAGACGAGCGGGTTTTGGTGCTCAGGAGTAAAGAGAAACCGATAATGAGCAGATAAACGGCTTTTCTTAACCCTTGGCGTTCTCGAGAGGCTTCGGCAGCTCCGCTGCCTCTTCTCCTCCACCCTGGCTCTCAGGCTTGATGTAAAGCCCAGCAGTGGCAAGGCAAATATCTCCCGGGTATTCTATAAATTTGGAGTGAAATGCGGTCAGGATAATGAGAAAGTCTTTCCTGGGGCAGGCTGGGGGAAGAGCCTGCGGCCATAAAAAGTTCCAGCTCGTCAAGGATTTCGTTTCTGAGCGGAGCCGTGATGCAGGAGCGAGCGGGGAAACAAACTCTGGAGACGTTTTCAATTGCAGATTCACAATCTGACCTTTTATGCCGACACCAGAACATCGGCCGTGATTTAGCGGGCGCAGAGCTGGGCGCTGGGAGCCACGCACCGACAGCCCGCTGGAGCCTCGGCTCTTTCCTATCCTTTCCCGAGCAAAAACAGGAATAAACATTTTTGAAACCACTACCGGGGAGATGGATTTGTTTTATTTTATTCCCCTGAAATACTAGGACTTAATAAAGTAACTAGAAATTATTGAGGGTTTGGGTTTTTTTCTTAAGTCCCTGAGATTCTCTGGGCGTTGGGGGACACGGAGCTTCCCCTGCCCGACCCGGGGACTCCCAGCCCGGGGGATGCTCCGAGCCCTCGGTAAAGCAGAGCGAGACTTTCCATCCCTTCATGGAGAGGAGAGGTTGGGCCGTTTTCCTGTGTCCTGGCTTTTCCCATTTTGCTGAACCTGGAGAAACCCGGGGTTTTATTGCACCTGGAGTTCAAGGACGCTCCTTCTCACACTTCGCCGTCTTAATAAAGTCGCGCAGTGCCTGCTTCCTCAGCTTGCTTACCAAATCCTGGATTAATAAAGTTTACTTAGTTATTTAAATAGATTAAATGTCACATTTTAAATGGAAGGGGAAGGTTCTACCTTCCTGACCTATTTTTCATTTCTGATTTAGAAAAAGGCAAGATTAGCATGGATATTGCATTTTCAAGGACCTCGCCACTATTAAATAGACTGTTAAGTGCATTTTATGGCTGAAGAGTCTGTTCCCAGTTCAGTCTGGAAGACGTGCTAAGTTCATCTCTACCTGCTACATTGAACATTCACTGACTAAAATACTTCCTGTGGATGTAATACCTATACTCTGTATCTTTTAAGTACATAACGCTTTATGTTTTAGCACTGGTAACACGTAATTCAATAAAAGCCCTCGAAATAGAAGTGTTGTCTCCCAAGAAAACTGCATGAGGGTGTTTGGCCGGTTGCAGCGGTTCCCGGCTCGGGGAAAAGGCACAGCGGTGGGAAAGGAGACTTCGGGGAGGGATGACAGGGATGCTCGCGGCTCCGGGCGGGAGTTTAAGCGGGAGCGCATCAGTCGCCGCCCCGGGGGATGCTCGTTCCCGTGCCCAGACCCACGGGGATGGGCAGCGCAACTTGCGCGTGGAACTCGCTGTGATTCCTCACCCGCTGCCTTCTAATACCAATAAATTCCCCCTCGGAATGGCGAGGCTGTTTTTCCGCCTCCCGGGCCGAGCTGATCCCGCGGGGCAGGCGGGGACGGGCCCCGAGTGCGCCTGGGACACGAGGAAGAGTCCACAAAACTGCCCGAGCTGCCCCAGGAGGCAAAATCCCATCGAATTCCCTCGGGAACTGCCCCCCTGCCCCGCACCCGCAGACGGGAGAAAAACTCTTCACCCCCGCAAAAGCAAGTCCTTGTGTCTTTCCCGGAGTGGGAGACCTCCGAGAGCCCAATGAAGGACGAGGGATGGCGCTTCCCAAAGCGAAATGTTGGCCCCCCTTCCTTTGTTTCTGGCCCAGGAGAGCCGCATCCCCAGAGCCGGAGGAAGCGCTGGGAGTCAGGCAGCGCTGGGATATGCGGGGGGTGCGCGGTTAAATGTCCCCGGTACAGCCGGCTCGGACTCTAACCAGTTACCCCCGAGGAACAGGGAACCGTATCCCAAAGGGGTTCGATGTCCCCAGTGGATGATTTTCTCCGGCCACCTCCCTGTGCGACAGACCGAGAAGGAAGGTGTCCGATGGGCATCCCTCCCTTGGTGCCCCCGGAGCGCTCCCGACGGTGTTTCCTCCGGGAAACCGGGCCTCAGTTCTGCCCTCCCGCATCTCCGGAGAGAGGTCTCCGACCGCTACCTCGCCGGGAACACGGCTGTGCCGGCCCGGGGGACTGGGGGCGGAGGGGGGATACCCCGAACGCTGGGGCTCCTTACAGAGGAACAACGTCCACGCGCGATAAATACACAATGTCGCAGATGATCTTTCCTTGCCTTTTCCAACGCTCGCCGCAGCCTCTCAACACCCATTAGCCCCGTCAGCCCGTAACTTTGAGCCCCGCGCTCTGCCCGGGAACAGACCAGGGTGCTATAAATAGGCGGTGCTGGAAGACGGCAGAGCGGAGTGGGGGGGAAGAGGGAGCGCAACTCCCGCGGCCGCGCAGGGAAAGCGAGAGTTCCTCGGGAGCCTAGGAAGTGGCCCTGATGAGCCCATCTCGCCCCTTTTTCAACCAACGTGATGGTTTAGAGGATTAGGGCCAGATCCTATTGTACATTCCTTCCCCGGACGGAGGGAGCGGCGGGGTCGTAATTGCAATAAATAAGGGGGGAAAGTGTCAGCGGGGTGGAGGTGGCTCTGGATAAACTCTCTGGGCTGCGAGGAGGGTCATTTTCGCGGTGTTTCGGATCTAGTTACTTCCAACACACCCCAGGGACCGACGTGACACGACTTACACTAATGGGCATCTGTCACCGGCCGTGTCAAGTTGTGCCATATGCGTCGGACAAGTTTGTGGATGGGAAAAGCAGAGAAAGAACAAGGAAAAGAGTTTCTGTGGTCTGGCTGAGGCCCGTGGCTGAGGAAAGTTCGCCAGGACATGGTGCTCCCGTTTGCCCCCGGCCCGCCGCTCCCAGTCCGGCTGTGGGGGCTGCACCCACTCCTCCGGGCAGCATCGTGCGGGAAAGCCGCTCCCGTCCCGGTTGCAAACCCTCCCCTATATGGGGACCGACTTCTGGCACCCCCGGGACCGCCGAGCCCCGCCGGTAGCTTTGTGCCCATTCGGTGCCGTCCCGGGCGGCTGCGGACACCGGGAGTACTCCCGGACATCTGAAGTGCTCCCAGTTCCCCGGGCTGCTCCCGGCCCCGGGAGCTATGGGGGTGATCCCAACCCCGAGTGATGCTCCAGGCTCCGGGAGATGCGGGATGCTCCCGGTCCCGGGGGTGCTCCTGGCCCCGGGGGGGCGCGCCCATTCCCCGCGGGTGCAGCGGGAGCTGCCGCGCCCCCCGCAGGCCCCGGTGCGCCACTGCAGCCCCGCGGCCACCGCGAGCCTCCCCCGCCCGCGCGGCCCCGCTGCCACTCCCGGCCCCGCGGTTGCGGGACCCGGCGGCTCCCGCGGGGAGGGGGCGGCTGGGCGGGGGTCTCACCGCGGTCCTTCCCCAGCCCTGCGCCCTCCCGGTGCTGCCCGGCCCCGGGGGCCGCCGCCGCCGTCGCCCCTTCCCGGGGTAAGGCTTCTCCTGGCAGCCGCTGTCCTCGACGATCGAAGGAAGACTGGGGGAGAGAAAGAGAGGACTGAGGGAACGGAGGTAGAAGCGGTTCCCGATGGGAGGCAGCGGGAGGAAAGTTGCCGGTGCCGCCGCCGCCGGCGAGCAGATGCCGAGCCGAGGTATTGCTGCTATGTGGGGAAATATGAGCGAGTAATTTTATAAGTAACAAAGGCTGGGGAATGGAATGAGCCCCTGTTATCCGGTGTCCTCTGGAAGCCCTGGATCAGCAGCTTCTTGAGCCTCACAGCGACTCCGGGCAGAGGCTCCTTCCTTTTTTCCCAGGGGATCCGCTAAATATAGAAACCCCCTCAATCGCACAGATCACCCACCATTTGCTGTTTGTGTAAAACCGATTACCCAGACACAACTGTGAAACAACCCGCTCCTCTGACACCGCCACGCACCGACACATTCCGCTCCGCGGGGTTCCGCGGGGCCGTGGGTGCCCGTGCAGGGCCCCGCGTGTCCCCGCTCTCTCCAGGTTCTCCCTGTCCCTGGCAGATGATTAGCGAATCCTTATTTATAAAGTTCAAACGATCTCATCAGCGGGGCTGCTCGGTTTATTTTAGTCTATGTATGCGGAGGTATAAATATTTACTTAGGAAGAAATAATATTTACTGCTTACCAGGAAAGCAAGGACACTTTTATTTATATATTTATTTTAAATCCGCGGCTGCCAGCTGGTTTTTGGAAGGGAAATAAGCGCCTGGTCCGGCTCCTCCCGCAGCCGAGCCTGCCGCATCCCGCATCCCGCCTGCATCTCACGCCGCCGATTTTCCTAACAAAGACAACGAATTATTTGGGCGGAAAAGCAAAATCCGCGAAGGTTTTCAAAGGTGACAAAAAATGTCACGTTGTAAGAAGAAGATAATGAAGTATCAAACACTGTCAGTGCACAGGAGAGACCGAGATCTCTCCAGGCTCAACACCACAAAGCGCCGCTTTAAATATTATAACGGTACATATTAATTCTCTCTCTTTTTTTTTTCCTCTTGGCCGGTTCTTTACTTTAGCCCCGAAAATGTACTTGAATTTGTTTGGTTTTTTTTTAATTTTCACAGCTGCCGTTAAAGCTGAGTTGTTAGGAATTAGCTGGGAAAGGCCAGTTCTTTCCCGCGGGAAGAGCCGCTGCATTAACAGCGATAATTTTCCTGATCGAAACGAAAGATCCGCGCTCGGTCACCGCACGGGCACGACTTGAATATATATAAGTTTTTTTCATATAAAATAAATAATAAACATTGCTTAAACTGACCCAACGTGTTTTATTTAAAATAATTTCCCTTATAATTAGCCCCGAACGCCGACCCAAAGCGTACCTATTCCGGCCGGGAATCCCTCAGTGTCGGGATGCGGAGCCGAAGTCAGGCCGAGAAAAATTTATATATTTAGGGAAACATCACGGCGCGGTTGAGGGAGCCTCGGATCTGCAGGGGAAGGCTTGATTTTGGAAGAATCGGTGTGATGTTGGCCCCGCCGCGGCGGCTGCTCCGGTAACAAGCAGGGCCGGTGGCTTTCGCTGCGCGGCCGCGCAAAGCACACCCCGAGCGACGGGAGATTTCTTGGGAAATCCGCCCGCACCGCCCCGCAGCGCGACCCGCGGAACCCAAACCTCCGCGGGGATGGAGAACCGGAGCTCCGCGCCCGCGCCCCGCGCTGTTTCCCCCCCTCCTCGATTCTCCGCGGCCGCGCATCCCGTCCTGCGAGCGGGGGGTCACAGAGGAGCCGCTCACACAGAGACGGGCAGAGCATTTTAAAAATTTATTTACAAAGTTGTGTACAACACGAAGGGATAACATTTAGAATACATATATTCATTCATATATAAACAGACTTCTATAATAGAATGACAGCGTTTTTCCTCCTTTTTTTTTTCTGCAAAATTCTCTCTCTTTTTTTTTTTTGTTCGTTCGTTTAATATTTAAAATTTCCCCCGCTTATTTTTTTGTACAATTTCGTTTTCTCGTTTGTTCGTTTATTTCGGATAAAACCGCTCGGAGCGTCGGAACCTTCAAAAAAAGTGAAAGTTCGCAGCTCCTTAATCGCGACCGTCATTTCGCCTCTTTAGAAAAATAAAAACCCCGAAAGCAACGTCAGTGATTTTTGATACAAATATGTACAAGCGGCGATGGCCGGTGCCCGCTACCGCTCCGAACCCCAGCGGCCGCGGAGCCCCGAGGGGGCGGCCGGAGCCCTCCGGGGCGATGCCCGGGGCTACCGCCCGGGGCTACTGCGCCGGCCACTTGGCCTGCACGGCGGCGGCGGGGGCTGCGGGCTGCAGGAACTGCCCCGCGATGATGTTGGTAGGCACGCTGAGGATGGGGGCGATGGCCGCAGTGGTCCTGGCCAGCGCCAGAGGCTGGTGGGCCATCAGGGCCGACTGCACGGTGACGGGAGGCCGCAGGAAAGTCTGTGCACTGGCGGCCGAGCTGGCGGCCGGGACGCCGATGATGTTCTCGATGCTGAAGGACGGGCGGCTGCTGGGCTCCGACTTGACGATGGAGCCGGCGGCACCCAGGCTGTTGAGCTGCAGCTGGAGGCTGGGGCTGAGCTGGGAGTTGAAGGCTTTGCGGCTGAGCTCGCTGGACGGCAGCAGCGGCACGGCGGGCGGCAGCATGGGCCCCACCGGAGGGATGTAGGGGTACTGCAGCGCGGCCGCGGCCGCCGCGGGGTGCGTGTAGGCGCCGGGGTGCAGCCCGTAGGGGCGGCCGTAGGGGCCGGCCAGGCCGTAGGCACCGAAACCCTGCATCATGAGAGCCGTCTGGTCCCGCAGGTGCTCCTGCTGGTGCCGCTTGAAGCGCTTCCTGCGGCGGAGGAAGCTGCCGTTGTCGAACATGTCCTCGGACTGCGGGTCCAGCGTCCAGTAGTTGCCCTTGCCCGGATTGCCGGGCTCCCGGGGGATCTTGACGAAGCAGTCGTTGAGGGAGAGGTTGTGGCGGATGCTGTTCTGCCAGGCGGGGAACTTCTCCCTGTAGTAGGGGAAGCGGTTGCTGATGAACTCGCAGATGCCGCTGAGCGTCAGCTTCTTCTGCGGGCTCTGTAGGATGGCCATGGTGATGAGGGCGATGTACGAGTAGGGGGGCTTCACCAGGCTGCTCTTGGGCTTGCTCTGCCCCGCCGCCCCGCCGCCGCCGCCGCCGCTCGCCCCCTCCTCGCCGCCCCCCTTGCCGCCCTCGGCCGTGCCGCCGGGGGCCGCCCCGGCTGGGCTCCCGCTGCCGCTGCTGCCGCTCTCCGCGCCCGCGCCCGGCTCCGCGGGCAGCGCCAGCTCCGCCGCTTCGTCCAGCGGCAGGCGCGGCAGGGCGGCGGGGCTGCCGGCCTCGCCCTCGCTGTCCTTGCCCGGCCCGTCGTCGCCCTCGCCCACCACGTCGATATCCACATCTTCGGCTGCCGGGACGGCGGGGCCGGACATGTCGCTGGCGCTGCCGCCGCCCGACAGGGTCATCCCCGCTCGGCGGGGCGGCGGCGGCGGGGCCTCCCGCCCGCACCGGGGTCCCCCCGCGCCCCGCTCCCGCCGCGGCTCCGACCGGCCCCGGGGGCTACACCCGAGCGGGCATGGGGCCGTCCCCGCGGGGCATGGGGCGGCCGCGCCCGCCGCTCTCCCGTGCGCGGGGCTGCGCTGGCCGCCGGGTCACCTCCCGCCGCCGGGCATCGAGGCTCAGGCGGCCGCTCCGCTGGGTCCCGCCCGCCGCGCTGCGCGCCCGCCGCGCATGGGGCCGCTCCGCGGGCCGCCGCCGCTCCACCGCTCCGTTCCGCGGCCGCGCCGCGCACCGCTCCGCCGCCCTCCGCGCTGGATGGATGGGGGGGTTTTTTCCTTCCCTCTTTCCTCCTCTCCTCTGGGTTGGTTTTTTTTTGGTGGTTGTTTTTTTTTCCCCCCCTCGGCGGAGGGAGGGGACGGAGCTCCCGGCGGCCGGGCGGGGCGGGGGCAGGAGGCCGGGGGTCGCGGGGCCTCGCTCGCCACTTTGGCAGCGCGGCGGTCCCGACTGCCTGATAGATTACTTTCCCGTTAAAGATATACTCGGAGGCGGCTCCACGTGACCGCCTGACGTCAGGCGCCCCGCTGTGAAGTCATGCAAAACTCGAGTTGTTTCATGGACTGTCAACAAAGACCGGCGGTGGCTCCGCTCCGCCCGCCCCGACGGCCCCCGACGGCACCGGGACCCTCCGGCCCCCGCGGACAAGTTGCCGCACCGGGGGCTCGTCGCCGCTTCCGCAGCTCTCGGTGCGCCGGGCCAGGAGCCACCGCTCTCGGTGCGCTCGGCAGCGCAGGCTCGGCGGATGCGCCACCGTCATAGCGCTTAAAAGCACCAAGTTTGGGCTTCGAAACCACTTTTCTGTGGTTTTCTATTTTTTTTTTATTTTTTTTTTCTAGCAGCGCACCACCAACTGGGAACGGAAGATCAGAGAATGGCTATTGATTAATCTATTAGCTTAGTTGCAGAGAGAAATAAAAAAGACGTAAAATAACAAAGGGAAACTATAAATAAAGACCCTTTTAGCTGGTTTCTTTTTTTTTTTTTTCTTTTTCTTTTCCTTTTTTTTTCCTTTCTTTTTTTTTTTTTTTTCTTTTTTTTTTTTTCCAGAGGTGTTAACGACTTAATCATTGCGGGCCTTAGCATAAGAAAAAGTAGGAAATGAGGGAGTGTGTGTGAATGTGAGGACCGTATTGCCGCGGCCCCAGGTAAGCCCCGGCCCGGGGAGAGGCGCCCGGCGGGGCGGGAGGGGGCCCGGTCGCCCACCCCTGCCCCGGTGCGGGACCCCCCGCCCGGGCCCTCGGCCACGGGTGGCTCACGGTGTTTAGCTTTTTAATCCGTCCCGCCGAGACTTTTGCTCTTGTAGTTCTCGCACATGCTGTCCGATTTCGGTAAATGCAATTAAATTAGGAAAATGTCCCAGGAGCGAACGATTTCCTACGAGCGGTGCTGGCTTAGGGAAGGCAATTCCCTCCCTTCCCCCAAAATTCATCGGAGTCTTGCTAAGGTCGATGTCCCGGCCTCTCCCAGAGCCCCGACGGATCGCTGCGGGTGGGCCCGACCCTGTGGAAGGGGCCGCGGGGAGGATGGGGGGGAATTTCAGGCTGGTTTCTCCCTGCGCTCCGTTTTTCCGCGTTTCCCAGTGGATCTCCGCGCCCCGTGGACCGTGACCCTGGGCTCCGCACCCGCGCACCGCCCTCTCACACACACACACACAGACTCAAATACCCACAGCAACACTCGCACACTCCCGTTATGTGTCCCCCCCGTCTCACCGCAAAGGCTTTCCTAGGGAAAAAGGAGAAAAAAACCCAACTCCGCAGCCCCCCGTTCCATTTGTTGCGCTGTTCTTCGACACAACAAAAGTCAAATTAATTGATTCATACCATTAATTACGGTGCTTAGCGTGAAAAGAAACGTTTCCCCTCGATTAGGGCTCTATTGTGCTAATCCCGTGTTCAATCACGGCTGCCGGCTGAGCGGGGCCGCCCCGCTCCGCGCCTTTCCGCGCCCCTCCGCGGGCGCTGTTGCGGCTCCAGGCCTTCATCTGGTGAAGTTTAGGGCAGTATTTTGGAGCCCATCCCGTTAGAAAGTATTTAGGAGCCCATCCAGCCGGAGTGGGGAGGGAGAAAAGCTTTTCTAAAAATCAGGAAAGTTTTCCCCAAATATCTCGGGAGCCCCCGAACCCATCGAAGTTCAAGGGCTGAAGGGGAGCGGGAGCAGGAAGTGCGCCCTGCAAAGCGATAAAATAATTAAAGCAGCTTCTGTGGAGGTGGAAACCCACAATAATGACACAACCAGAAATAGAAAGTGGGCGCCCATATAGACAGATAGATTTAGCAACAGGAGAAAAACAAACTGTATCGTCCGGATCGATACGGAGTCAAATAGAGACACAGCAGAGCAGCGTGGAAAGGGAGGATGGAATAAGTTATGATAGAGAGGGAGAAATTAATTACAACTCAATTTGATTCTAATATGGCAAAGCAAGATACTGGCTGCGAAGAGAGTTAAAAATAAATCCAGAGGCTGAGCCTCAGGGGTGGGGGGGATTGAGGACGAAAGGCAGGGCTTGGGCAATTTCTGCTTCTGTAATCGTTTTAAAGGAAGGAGAAACCAAAGGTGTCCCCTTTCAGCTCCTTAAGCCTATTACTTTCACTAATGAGTTATATAAATCGTTGACCTGACCTGGATTAAACCAGCATTGTCGTTCGGTACAAACGTGCGGGGGTAAAGGGGCTCGCAGGAGAGGGGCCGCGGGTGAGAAATCCCTGTAAAATAAACATATTCAAGGGGAGGGACACGACAGGGACACACAGACATCCCCCGACCGGGACTGGAACCGGGGCCGGGGCCGGAGCTGGTCGAGTGGCGGCGCCTGGACCCCCCCTCCAGCCAGGCTTTACGCTAAAGATGCAGATTATCACATATATATCTTTTTCTCCCCTATTTTTTTAGGCCTCTATTTGGACAGGTTTGATTTCCTTTTTTCTTTTCTTTTTTTCTTCTTCTTCTTCTTTTTTTTTAAACTGTAATAAATCGCCCGTAAACCCGGCAGATCTCAGTGTAAAACGAAATTGGTCATGTTTCCAAAACGGCTTCGGATTTATTTGTATTGAAAATGTATAAACATTCATTCCGTAAAAGGCAACACGTTTAATTAACGATGAGAGAGCAGTTAGGGGCAGAAAGCTAGTAAAATTGTGTGATAAATTTATGGCATTGTTAGCGTGCTTTTAATTATGGCTATTATGTTAATTATTTCACATTAGCATGGAGTTATCAGCAGCATGTCAGATTTAATCAAAACGAGCCTTTCTCTCGAAAATTGTGCTTTTCATTCGCCGCGAGGAGAACGGGGGGTCCCGAGACGAAGTCGCTCCCCCACTTCTTTATTTATTTAAAAATAAATAAATGAAGGCTTTTAAAAAGAGACTTCCCATTGAAAAGAGTGGCTGGACGTGATCCGGGCTGGTGCAGGCGGCAGATCCCTTTAGGCTACAGCGAGCAGCGCAGGGAGACTGAGGAGAGAAGCGACGCTCTTGTTTTTTAGGAATTCACCATTTTCACCCCCTCCGGAGAAGGCATTTTATCATTTTGGATCATTCTGTCAAACAATATGATGTTGCTCATTTTTATCTGTCCCGTTTTACAAAGCCCCCGTTCACACTGCTGGCCAGGACAACGCGCCTCAGTACAAAAGAATAAAAGAGACAAGCCGGGAGGATATGGGATCGCTGCATGGATCAAAAAGGAGGGAAGAGGAGGAGGTGTGTGAGTGTGAGTGTGTGTGCGTGTGTGTGCGCGGAGGGGCTCGCAGCGGACCGGGACCCTCTCCCTTCCCGGCGCGCGGGGCTGCTCCCGCACACGCTCCGCAGCCCCCGCGACCGCCCCCCGGCCGGGCCGGTGATGCCGGGGGAGGCGACCCGCCGCTCCCCCAGACGCTTCCGAGCGCAAATAAAAATAATTAAAAATATATAAATGCAAAGGAAAATTAAAATCGCCGGTTTGACAGCGGCGTAGTTTTGGGGGGGCTCCGTCGCGCCGAGGTGCGGAGCTGCCCCCGCCCCGCCGGCAGCCCCGCGCCCGCGGAGATCTGCGGGGATCGCTCCGCACCGCCCCGCGCAGCCCGCCTGGCCCTGCCCGCGCCCCCTCCTTCGGCCGGCCCCACTCCCCCTTCCCCACGGGAGCGGGGGGCTGCGACCACGGCAGCTGCTGGCTTATTTTTAGAGCATTTCCATTCCTCCGGTTAATTTTAGATCGATCCATTATTTAGCCCCAGTTCGCCTTTAGGGAAACCCAAGCTGGGGGCGGCCGGCGCTCCGCGGCCGCGGGACTTTCCGCCGTTCGGGGGAAAGACAACTTCGGGGACCCCCCCGAGCCCTCGGGACTGCCGGAGGGACGAGGGGCCGTTCCCCGCGGAACCCGCGCTGCCCCCCATCCCCGCGGCCCCCCGCGCTGTTTAGGCGCTACCCTTCCCGCTGAGGTCGCGTTTCATCCAGGCGCAGATTTTCCACGTTCCGAGGCCTTTCCTCCTGGGGGAGACCCCCCCAGATACACACACGCCCCCCTCCCCCGCACCCCTCCGAGCCAGGCGGAGGGGCCGGGGCTGCCCCGCGGTCCCGGTCTCGCTCCCCGTCCGGCCCCAGGGGACCGCGGGCGGGCGCGGGGAGGCACAAACCACCCCTCTGGGTCCCCCCGCAGGGATGCGGTTGTCTATGCGGGTATATCTGCCCGCACACTCTCGCTCCGGGCAGCCCTCGCCGTCGGGGCCGGACAGCGCTGCAGCCCCGCACTGTGTCCATCCTCTCACCGCCCCTAAGGTTTCACCCCGAGCTTCTCCCTGCTCCGGATCTAAATACCAGCCAAACACCGTGTTTATGGAAAAACACGAATCGCCTCGAATTTGGAGTTAATTTTGCTGTAGGTGTGTCTCGGCCCTGGTCATCGCCTCCTCGCTTCCACCCCTCCC